TGTACCGACACAGTTGTTCTTTATGGTAAATAGATATCATATTTTCAAAATTAGCTGTTTTTTTAAACTCGAGTTTGTGGCCAAATTCCTTCAGTGATTGCTGAAATGATAAACTGGTCATTTCAAAGCCATCCACTGTTTTCACGCCTCTCAGAAAGCTGTCCTGTCTTCAACTTACTGCTCCTCATTGTCTTTATTTTCCCTGATGTTCAGCAAACCCTTATTTGCTTTCAATCAAACATGACAGTATCTCTTTAGACTATTGGTTAACTAATCAAGGCACGCTTGTGAGGAATGTTGGTTCCTGTTAGATCATCCCGGGAATTCAGAGAAGAGCCTTGACAGCTGTATGTTTTTGTGTAACAGTAAGTCAACTACTTTGTTTTGCTCAGTGGTGTCAAAAGTACACACATTTAATACTTAAGTAGAAGTATAGATACTGCAGTTTAAAAACACTCTGGTAAATGTTGAAGTATCAGCTTGACCTCCTTACTTCTTTAGTAAAAGTGAAAAAGTATGTGCTCCAAAAACTACTCAATGTATAAAAGTATAAAGTAAACTTTAAAAAAAAAGCCAGATGCCACTATATGATTGAAAGCTCAATTTTACGACTATTTTGAAAAATTCTTTGAGATAGGGCCAAGGATGAGCGAGGTCTTGTTGGTCTCCGTCTGCCGATACGCTCTCGCCCGATACCTTACAGACATTTCAACATCTTTTTTCTGAATTCGACGTTGTAGCATGGCATAGACGATTGAAGTTTACAGTTTGAAGAACACCTGCTTGCTTCAGGTGATATCCTTTAGCTAACCAATGAGTGTTTGCGTTATATGACTCATCCAAGTACACTAGTTTTCACTAGATGTGGATGGCGCCAATGATCTGCATTGGATGGCACACATGAAGTGAAAAAAATATTTATAAACATTAAACCAAAGCCAAGAGTGACAAATAACTTTTGTTTTAAAAATGTAAGGAATTTTTCTTTTTTTTTTGTAAAATGGGTAGTTGTATTTTATTTTATTATATTTATTATATTTTTTCATTATATAAAAAATGTTAGAACTGTAAATTTACAGTCATTTGTTTATATTACTGTTTTTATATATTTATTTATTTTTTACTATTTTTTCAAGGCTGCATTTTTAATAAAGATGAAATTGTTCAGAGAGCTGTTCCAAACTAAATTTCTTTTAGTTTTTCACTCATATAAACAAAATGACAAAATCTGTCTAAGTCTAATAGAAAGTTCAGATACTTGTGTGAAAATGTAATGGGTAGAAGTCAGAAGCAGAAGAAAAATAAGTAATGGAGTAAAGTATAGATGCCTAAAAAGTGTACTTAAGTACAGTAACAAAGTATTTGTACTCTGGTTTTGTTTTAGAGATGATTAATTCCTCTCTGGCTACCTTCAAGACTTTGTAGCCAGTCTTGAAAAAAAGCAAAGCAGTACCATTTATTACTCAAGTGGAAGTATACATCCTACTAAATCCTACTATTTAAAAACACTTTTGAAGAAAGCTTTTTACTCAAGTAAAAGTGTACAAGTACCATTTTTAAAACTACTTCAAGTATAAAAGTAAATGTAATGCAGAAAAAAAGGTTAAGGAAAGATGCTTTAAACCTCATACTGGTTATTGTGCTACCCTATTAAAGGAACATTTTCTGTATGATAACTTCCTTATACTTAATTTTCCTATTTTTATAACTAATGGTAACAGTGTCAAATTTACTGTTACTTTGCATCATCTTGAAGAAGGATTTATTTTGGTATGTGGTGAACAAGTCGGTGCACCACCGAGTCCAACCACAAACAAAATTGTCTGGATGAATGAAACAAATTATTTTGATGGATTTTATTTTTTTGAAAACCAACAGGCCATAGCGGCAATGAGTTTAAATGAAACAAAACTAAGAATTTGTTTTTTAAGGACGGGAAAGTAGAGATGATTGCAAAAAAAGTAAGGACTAGAAGTAAAAAGTTGTAATTACGAGGGATGTTCAATAAGTAATGCCCCTGACCAACTTCCAGATGTGTGATCGACCTGAAATTTGGGATGTGAAATTAGTTAAATCTCTATAGATTTATAGATCTCTATAGTACATGTCAGATTAAATAATACTTCTTCAGCGATAGTAACAAGGTGTTACTTTATTGTATGTCTTGTACCATGTCTGTTGGTTGTGCTGTTCTTTTTACATCTCGTTACAGGTGATGAAGCAGACTGAAAATGTTTTATCATTATCTCCCTTTTATCTCCTCTTTCTTTCGTCTGTCCTCCTTTTTTTCTGTTTTTCCTCTTCTGTTCTACTTACATTGCAGTGTACATATATTCTGTAAAACTCCCTGCATAATTATAATAAAGCAATTTATATACATGTAACAAGCGGAACACTATAGTGATAGCCTTACTGCTCAACTTGTGAAAGTAAAATCTGTTGGGGTCTTTTTGGCATCAAGACAATTATTCTTATTGCCACATCGCCAAGACAGGACACTGTTAAAAAAAATGAAAATAAATAAATCTCTATAGATTAAATAGCAAATTACAGACATAAAATAAATGTGGTTTCTGACTTAAAGGTGTTCAAACTGAGTCATACTCCAGTAAAGTATAGATAGCCAACAGTTCTACATAAGTAAGGTAACAAAGTATTTGTACTTTGTTCCTCGACACCTCTGGTCTTGAGGACACCAACTGAAAGCAATTTACTTAGTTTCTGTACCACTTTTGGTACAAGAACTGTAAATCATAGATTCCTCATCTACAAGGGCTTTGTGTTGCCAAGTTTTCCATGATCTCATGACCTTACAGTCATCCTCTGTAACCTCTAAGGCTTTAAAAACAACAACAGGTGCTTGAATGAAACTCCAGCTGTCAAATGTAGACAGGAAGCTGGCTAGTTCTTCAGCTAACAACAGCTGCAGGTAGGAGTGTTGAGTTTCAGCTCCAGGAAGTTGAAGAAGCAGTTAAACAAACGTTCTTCTATAACAAAGCTCTGTCTAGAGCAAGCCTAAGAACTCATTAAAGAGGCCTTATGGCTTTGCAGCAGCTGTTCTTGTCAGTCTGAAGACTGAGGAAGGTCCTGATTTAATGTAGAGCTGTTCATCTAGATTTCACTGAGTCTTTAGTTACAACAAACTCTGTTCGAATTAAACCATTGAAGTGTTTGTTCATGTACTTTGCATCTATCTGTAGCTGCTTGCTTGGATCTAGGTTTTTAATTTAAACAGTTGTGAAGCAGTAGAGAATTGCTTTTATGTCTTAGACTGGAAACTGATCTGGGGGATTTAAAACAGATGTGATTCATCCTAAAAAAGCTGCAAGGTTTGGAGATGGGTACAATATATATCTGATGTAAGGGAATTGGCAAAAAATCTAAATCTAAAACCTAAATGGATATAGACCAAAATAAATGGGATGAAGGATAGCAATTAGTAGGATATCTGGGACACAATTAAAGTAGACCAGGAAAATATAAGGTTAGAGTGGTGCAAATACAAGCAACAAGGACACAAGGTAGGGAAAATTGGCATTAGGAATGTTTGGCACAAAAAAGAAAGGAGAAATAAAATGAAAAGTAAAAATCATTGTAAAAATAAAATGGTATTAATGGTTGTGTAAGGATGCCTCGCAGAAATATGATGCTTTCAGGAAACAATGCACATAGCTGCTGATGTGATGATTTGATCGGTTAGGCACATGGGATCAAATATCTTAAGCAATCTTTAATTTCCTTTGATCCCCTTTTTTTCTTCTTTTTTTTTTTTTTTACAGGAATTCAGCCAAAAAGTTAAGCCAAGCCAATATATATTTTTGCATTAGTAAGGCTACATGTACGGACACACTGGCTTTATATGGTTAACAGTAATAGTGTCTCTAAGCTGGGTGCTTGCAGAATCACACACTGTTTACACATTCACAAGAAAATTATGCAGCACATAAAATCTAACATGAACTGTAAATCAGTTTGACCAAATATATATATTTTTCTGTACCACTTTGAATTGGAATATTTTGCAATCTTATCCGTAATCAAACATTTTATAGACAGAGTTATAGGAATTTATTCTGCATCACAAGCTGCAGTACACATTTCACCGAGCAAAAATATGAAAGTTTTAATTTGAACAAAAACTGATGTCTGAAAGGTGTATCTTCTAATTTCTTCTAAAGCAGGACCCTCACATATAACAGACACCTTATATTATGACCAACACTTTTGTTTTATTTTGTCATTTCATGTAGGCCAAATTACTTGTATTAAAAATAAACTAATGAAGATTATTGCTGTTTTTTGATCGTTTAATAAGCCATATAACTTGCTATGATCCTGGTTTTATAACAGCATGTAGATCTGATGGTGCTCACAGTGGTCCTCACCCAGACACTTGGAATAATTAGAGGAAATATTAGTTTGGCCACAATTCTTCAGTGATGAGGTAAGGTTTAACGTAATCAAAAAATAAGGATGGACAGAAGGAAGACCAAAAATAATAGAGAAATTAAGGAAATCAATTAGAAGAATATGTGGGACACCAGGGAGGTATAACATAAGGACACAAGGCAGTAATGCTGTCAATAAAAGGAAGTTGGACAGTAAAAATGAACAAAGGGCAGATGAAAAAAAGGTTGGACACATGGAAGACAGAAGAAAGAAAAATAACAGCACAGTAGGACTCATTGAGGGAAGACACGGAAGAGGAGCATAGAGGGAAAAATGAAAACCAATGAAAAAGGAAGAAAAGACACAACGAACAGAGAAATGAAGAACAAGGAAGAGAGAAAAAAGAACACAAGGATGTAAGGAATGAGGAAAGGAAGGAAAACATGATGTATGCTGGGGAAGAACATAAAAAGAACATAAGAAAGAAAAAGGAAGGAAAACATTTAGACAACTAGGGAAAGAATAAAGTCTAGAAATACAAGCATTATTTAACCAACTTCCAAAGTTTTTAAACTTCATAGGAAACAGACAAAAAAGGAGCTGAAAACCGATTAAAGCCAAAGGTCACTTTAATTCTTCAATTTCAGTGTGAATAGACTTAATATCTTCACAGAAACAGTACTAAAAGTACATTTAAAGTGATAAAAAAAAACAGTTTATTTTTAAAGCTAGACCTAAAACACAGCAGTGACCTGCAGAACTACAAACTTTATTTTGGGTGAACAATAACCTTAAAATAATAAACTCAGATTACCATCTTTTTTTTTTCTCTAGAAATTACTATAAAATAGTTGATTTATGTTTCTGTACACTTAAATGAGAAGTTGTACAAAACAAATACTGTCAGCAGAGCTTCTATATGAGCTCAAGCAGCACAACCTACTAGTAGAACTTCATACAATACTTCAACAAACAGATCTGAAACACATTTATACCCCACCTTTAGAGCAGCATTAACATACTTTGATCCAGTGTCAGGGAATGCTTCACATAATAAACTTATTGCTGTGCTTCTCTACCTGCCAGGAGGCTTCAGTGTTTGAGTGTTCAGACCTACAGTAAGCACTAAGCTTCTTCATGATTATCTAGATTCTTCTAGGTGCACAATGTCCCATTAGTAACGAGATCACTGCTCATTCCGCTTCAGTCCCTTTAGGACAGAGAGATGATTGTGGTTCATCAGCTATGAAAGCACGGTGAGGGTAACGGTTCCTTTGGTCCTCTTCAGAATGCCGACTGCTTCTTCATGCGTCACCCCTTCCAGGCTCTGCCCGTTCACAGCCATGATCTGGTCTCCTCGCTTCAGACGGCCGTCCTCCGCTGCTGCCCCCTGAACCCAAGGACAGACATAAATACAGTCTCCTGCTAAAGTATTTACACCTTTTGAACTTTTTTTTTTGTACATCATGTGAAAATCAGCAGCGTGTTTGTAAGCAGCATCATTTACGCATGAAATGCCGTGCACCCGTAACAATCTATATTTTAATTCTCTTTAATCCCTTCTGTTTTTATTAAGTTTCTATTGCTTTTCATTTATAAGTACGCAAATAACAGGCTTACACATAAAACTTGACAAATTAAACAGTTCAGGTTACAGTTATGAGGAATAATTCATAATTTTAAATAAAAAATACTAAATAATAATAAGAAAAAATATTATTATAATAATGTTGTGACATCACACTCAGGGTGGGGTTACAGCTGTAGTGGTGGTACAAGGAGGGCAATGTTCCACAGCCCACCTAGTGGTGAAATATTTTGCAACTTTTGCATACATCCATGTTATAATAGCTCTAACGATTAATTCATGACCAGGCCATAGTTGAACTTGAGGACATTTGTGCTAACTAAGCTATTTGATTTAGTTTAAAGCAAGCATCCCCAAACTCGGTCCTCAAGGCCCCCTGTCCTGCAGGTTTTAGAGGTTTTAATTGAAAGCTGATTAACAGGCTTTTGGTCTACTGCAATCATTATAACGAGATGTGCTGAAGCAGAGAAACCTCTAAAACCTGCAGGACAGGGGGCCTTGAGGACCGAGTTTGGGGATGCCTGGTTTAAAGCATACTGAATGTAAACACGGGGTAGTCAAAGCCCAGACATGCGTGCATCTGATAACCCATGGCACAGACTAAGCTAGAGCTATTCTATTAGGAAGCAGCAAAACTGAAGTCTGTGCAAGAAGTGCTCAATGACACAACTCAAAGCACAAAAAGTTGTTTTTTAAATACCAAATAACAGTTTTCTGATTTCTATGGGGAAAAAAAATCATTTTTTTTTTTCAACTTTGAAACTACTAATGTTATTTTATCAAACTAAACCAAAATAAAGTACATCTCTTATTGCCTAAAGTACATAAAATGGGTTTAACATTCTCCTACCTTTCCAAATACCGTTTTGACATAAATAGGTAGATCTCCATGCGGGCTTCCATGACCTCCTACTATACTGAAACCAAGTCCATCAGGCCCTCTTTCAAGATTGATAGTCTTATACTGAGGTGGCCTGGAGGAAAGAAAAAGAAGCATTTAGGGACATTTTTTTCCTCCAACCCCCGATTTAAAGCTGCTTTCCTTTTGCAACAAATTAGAGTTCTTTGTTTGCCATTGGAAGTGCGGAAAAATGTTCCTCATACCCAATATCATCCTGGAAGATGCAGCTGGGCGTTAGAGCACCCCCTTCCTGTTTCTGAGCGGGCCCCGTCACGGTGGTGTCGCCACCTGCTACCACCTGCAGGTGTGTTAACACATACGCACAAAAAAACAAAGTGACATTGTTATGTTCCAGTCTCGATTTACCGTCAAGATAAAGACTGACAGCCTGCTGGTATAGTGGCCCATGAGGGGTTTGAGTTTTATGGTGCTTCCAAGTCTTCTGCTGGTGTTCTCCTTTCAGAGGCAGATCATAAAGAAAACGCATCGAGCTGAGCAGCAAATTATCTCCCTGTCTGCAGGTTTATCTCTCAGGGATGTTGAAGATGTGACAAAATATAAAGAAGAGTAGATGAATGTGTGTTCTGGGAGACCTGCAGCTGTATCGTTCCCGTGGCGTTCTTGAGCAGAGTGACAGCCTGCGAGTGGCTCATGCCTTCAGCTGATGTTCCACATATGCTAACAATGCGGTCGCCCATCTGGAAAAAAAAGAAAATAATGTTACAACCTAAATACAATTTCATTATTTAATTACAAGGTTATTCAAGGTGAACAATTGGAATGTCTCAGACAAGCTAATAAAAATTATTTAAAAATGTTTGCTTGTGAAAGCAAAGTTGTTGTGCTATCAGCTAGCTCCGGCACATCAATTGCAAGAGCTACTGTATATTTGCTAAGCAGAAGACAATAATTCAATCTGAAAACCTCACAAAAAAGAAATATGATTAGAAGAGTTTTATTGATGCATTTACATTAGTATTTGGCTCTCAGACCTTGGCAGGAAACATTAGGGTTGAATTATTTTGCTTTGATATGCATGAACAGGAGTAGGAGTAGGGATGTTTCCCCCCAGGCCTGAAACTGGTGGTGGAGTGGAGATGAATGAAGTTGGTCAGTACATGGCTACTGTATGAAGAGATCCAGTGAACTGCATCTGAGTCAAAATCCAACATGGTGCAACTACTGCCAAGCCTTGGTAGCAGACTGAGATGTGGATTTGGCAACTTTTTAAGATGAGCGCCGGATGCTGATTGGCTTTCGTGGAGGTGTGGTTTGGGACCGAGTGGCTGAGATGGAGGCGGGCATGGGTGAGTAATTGTTTATTCAGTTGAACTTCTGCCTAGGCTCCATAATAAATAAAAAATAAAATAGATACTTTACTTCTGATCCAGAGTATCCATATTGATGATGTCTCTAATGCACTAACTGGTCAGCCTGGTTTGTATTTACGAGCAACTCTCAAATGTATTTAGGCAGATGGCCTTTTTTTAAGTGCCTTATTGGCAAGCTAAATAATTTTAAAAGAAACTGATTGGTAAAGTGATTTAAGGATGAGTGTGATATGATCCATTTTCCCGCTGTTGGTCGGGACTCTGATGGCAACTTTTTGGACCAACTGTACCTGCCTAATCGATTCTTTCTGAGGATTTTACAGAAACTTTTCCAAAAACTCTAACCTAAAAAAAATCCAATAATTTCAATTTTAACAGAAAACCTGACCAAGTGTCTTGGTCCATGTTGACAATTGGATTAAGGACTGATTAGTGGCCTTCCTGATGGTCTCTAGCTTCACTGGGTCTAGTTGAGCTTTAGGGACAAAACATTAACTACTGTCTCTTATTGCCTTGAGCAGTGGGAAATTCTGACCCATCCATTTAAACTTTATTATAGGTACTCTTGGTCACTATAATGGAGTGTATCCATTTCTCAAAACAGAATTATTAAGAAGCATGTCAACAGCACACAGTGAAAGTGAACAACCAAAACCGCTCAGATGTTTTATTTTCAATTTTAAACGCCACCAGCTGCACCAATGTTCTGAGATAGGATCCCTAAGGGAATTTGTTCCTCCTCTAAATTCATAGCAAAACTTCTGCAGGGAGAGCAAAGCCTTTTTTAAAATACTTTCTCCCTCTTACTTTAGGCTTTAATCTTGTTTCCTACGCATTGAAGATATAATGACAAGCACTTTAATGTCATTGTGTTGGACTTATAAATAACCTGAAGCATTGCCTTATCCATTGTTTATTTCATAGGAATAAGTTTAATTTAATAAAACCTATTGTTGCATTGTTCCTCTGTCCATAAAAGTAAAAAAAATAATTTCTTCCGCATTAAGTGGGACAGAAGACCAGTAAACGATGCTGAGAATATAAACTGTAACAGGATCTGTTGCTGCTGCTTTTTCCTCCAGCTCAGACCGCCTATAACTGTAGTCAGGATGAGATTAATAAAATAATAAAACTGTCTTATACAACCTAATTACCTCAAACATTTGTCACTGGATATAAGTAAATATTTTCTTTTATGAGGTTTTCAAAAAGAAAACTCCATTGAAAATGAATTGAAAAGGAAACCCATAAGATTTAGATTAACATTCATAGATTAAATATTTATAAACTGGCTGATAATAACTATGTAATAATCTATATTGAAGTTAACACAAAGTTAGATGTTGAAGGGATCAATATTCATTCAGCATTTCAGACCATTTTACTGTGATAGAATCCTGATAGGCCAATTTATTTAAAACATGTAAACTTTTGTGGTTCTTCCTCTAAAAAGAACTGGAATTGATAGGAATTGAAACCAGATTTGTTAAAAGTCAAACAAGGCCAAACTCTAGAAAGAAAAACCTTAAACGAAACAACTGTTTGAATATTTAAGTGCTATACTATAGAAAAACTACAGAAAAACAAAATGATGTGAAAGTTACAAACTAAAGCAGTAAAGTTTGCGGCCATAGCTACGGTGCTGTCGTGTGGACCTAAAAACATTATCTCAACATTCCCCTCTTAAGGCCACAGAACAGCATATGAAAATGTTGCCTAAATAAGGTCATTGTGTAGTTTTCCCATTTTTCACTTAGGCTGAAATGTTTCTCCTTTTTGCCTTCAATGATTCTTTGTGATCCAAATCCAAGAGTGGGAGATTTATCATCCATGTTCGCTACAGCTATTGTCCTCCCTCTGTCTCTGTCAAACACAGAAACAATTGTCTGTGTTTCTGAGGGGAGCGACTGCTTAAACGCTGACCTTTAGAAGGACTTAAGATTCACAAGCGGAGGAGCAAAACTGTACTTCATATCTGGGAGTTTTATTTTTTGTGCAATTAACCAACGAAAATAACAGTTTGAATGAATATTTTAAACCGAGAGCCTGAATAGTTGCAATCAATCCTTTACCTTTAGCTGTGTCTGAGCAGCCAGTCCGTTGGGATTCATCATGGCGATAAAGATAGGTATATCACCCAGAGGGCTGCCCACTCCACCTGCTATGCTGATGCCCAGAGAGTCACCAGGGCCTTTAGTGAACTCTACCGTTCTGATGTCCTGGTTCTCTGCAACTGGAACACCGGTGAAAATACACAGTTATGATAGACTTTGATGCATTTTACGTTTGGGGACAATGCCTTTCAAAGGATGCAATTACTTTTGAACTTTGTTACATTACAATATTAAACTTCAAGTATTTTATAAAATGTTATGTAAAAGACCAATATAAAGTAGATAATATTCATGGAAAAGTTTTTTAGAAAGGTGTGGTATGCAATTTAATGTTCTCCCCTTACATATTCCTCCCCTTTCTTTTCTTAAAGAATTTCATGATGATGAATGTTTAATTTGTTCATTTTCTGTTTTATGAAAAACATGTATAAATAAAAACAGAGAGAAAAATATAAACGCATATAAAACAATCCTATATTATACATTTCTGATTTACTTTGTGTTATACAACGCAAAGTTAATTGTTATTTGTGGCCACAGAATGCAAAAGTGTATGAATGTGTTGGTGACGCACATTATATAACTTTGAATACCTGAAATCTTCCAGTACTTACACTCTTGACCTTTGCTTGGTGTGTCAGAGTCACTTTGAAGGTTTCCACAATCAGAACCAGACTGATTGACCACCTTAGAGCTTCCTGTTTCACTCATCTAAAACAAGAAGGTACTCAAGGTTGAGTTTATGGAAACAAGGAAACCAAAAAAAAGCTAGCTTTAAGTCCAATCACCTGGCTACTTTGGGAAAGCCGTCTCTCAGAGTGAAAAGGCCCAGCCTTAAACCTCCCTACTTCCATCTTTATTGGCCCAGTGCAGCACTGCAACACAGTACACATCATTTAATGTAGCTTTCTGCTACGCTTATCACACTTTCATTGTTGTCTGTAACCTGGTGAGCTGTGTGGGCCTACTTACTTTGAGAAGTGCAGCTACGGCCTCTTGAGTGGCCGACCTGACGTCTTCGCCATTAACGGACAAAATCTGGTCGCCCTGCATCAGTCGACTGTCCATGTCCACCAAACCTCCTTTAACAATATCGGACACAAACACTCCCGTGTCATTCCTGGGAGGAAAACAGACCGGGATATATCTGTTAGTAGACAAAATGTCTCACAGTCCTCTGAGTAATTGTGTCCTCTATGCTTTAACCATGTTTATCTTTCTAAAGCCGACGATTTTAAATTATATGTTTGCAACAACAACAGGAAAAATCTTCATTTGTGCAGGAAAAGCAGGACACTGCTATTGTAGACCACATATCGTAGGTGCCAATCTCCACGTGGATGAAGACAAACAAAGCTGTGAAGCAAGGAGTACAATACCACTCAATATCCAGGGTCAGAGATACTTGGCTGTCACAGCTCCTCTACCACTAACTGCTAGCTTGCACTTTTCTTTTCAGCCCAGAGGGTTTCAGGTCATCAAAGCAGTTTTTACTCTTTTAAGCATTTTTTTTTTCAATGTGTGCAACAGAACCACAGATGGAGAGGCTGCATTTATACATACATAAAAGGAAAAAAAGGTTCAAGGGGCATCTTTCATTTCTGCAGTCTTGATGGAAAAAATACAGCACATAGAAAACGTATTTAGTTTTTGTAAATTACATATTTTTTTCCCCATTTTTTATTTTTTGTTACAATGTTTTTTTGGCTTCTAATTCAAGATGAATCCCTTTATGAATATAAAAAATTACAATAAAGTGGTCAACTTTGAATGTTGGATCTGGTAAAACACAGACTGCAAAGATGGAGGGATGGATAGATGGGTGAATAACTAGATTAGCAGATATATTATCAGTACACCGGTTGCTGCAAAATGATATAATCTAGGTTTTTGATTTAACTTTGAGGACATCAATAAAATGACGGAAGAATTTCCATTTTCAAGACTCATTTTCTATTTCCATAGAAAATGACTCTTTGGACAAAACCAATGATGCATTTAAATTAACATAATATTTCCTCAAAAAATATATATATGAAGGGCAGGTGTTTTTTTTTCATCTTATTAACATCTTCTAATATCATGAGTGCTGAGAACAAAAAAAAAATCAACATTACTTTGTGTTTTGTTTAGATAAAACTGTGATTTAACACTGAGGCCAGTTTGTCATACCCATTCTTTAAAATGTAAAAAAACAAGACAAAAACAGTTACTATAGACAATTGGAGAAAACATTAAAACAACTTAGAAAGATTGAATTGTTGGAAACAAGGCCAAGTCAAAATGTCTGGGCATCACATACGGTCAGGCGGACGGTTACGTTTTCTCCAGAGACCAGCAACAATGATTTCACTCTGATTTAATACCACAGTAAAAAGAGGAATCCTCTTTTAGGCACTGTAAACATTCCAACCATGGAGAAACTGCCCCAGTTTAAAGACATTTCTCTCTCATAGCCATTAGAATGAGGAAAAAATGTTAACTGAAAAAAATCCCAAAAGACATGTTTAAATTGAATTTTTGGTATGAAGTTCTAGCATTAGAATTAGAGCATTAGAGCGCCTTGTGGCACAGCTATAGTATCTGAGTAAAGCCCACATATAACAATGAATTGAGCGTTCAGGTGTAACCTTTATTGATATGTTATTTTGAGAAGAACTGATGAACAAGGATGCCAGTTTTAGTCTTTATAGTCCTCTCTCCCACTGCAATGTGATTTTTTTTTTCTACAGTGCTTCTATCTACAGCCCTGAAGCAAATAGTGAAAAAGGCAATCTCACTGTGCCATCACTAAGAGCTTTGTTTGTCCAATAAAGGATCCAAAAGCTACTTGGCATTGACATCTTAGGAGTTTTTGTCTTAAAATCTAGGAAGAAAATACACACCATTGCTGATTTGTTTATTCATGAGGTCAGAACTGCTGTCGTTGTTGCTCTCATTAATGTCTGAAAGAGAAATCCTGTCTGGTATTAAGTGGTTATAAAACTGTCCACTAAGACAAAAATGATGACTTACTTTAAAAAAGATGTAAGTATGCGAGTACCATGGGATTGCCTGTGTATGCTGCTTCTGTGCTCAACCTGTTATATGGCTATAATGGTACCTGAAGTCCAGAGAAAACTAAAAACTGGGAATTTTATGAGGGACAAGTTGGAAAGTCAATCTAGATCTTAATTTAAATATGTTTATACATAACTGCTGTTAACCTAAGGATGAAAAATAAATCCTCTAAAGAATAAATTACCTGTGATCCCGTGATCTGCATTGGACAAATACAATAATAGATTAGAATTATGAATCACTTTTTGCTTTCTATATTTTTCTAGAACTATTAAGAAAGCCATGCAGCTAGAGGATACTCAAAAGCACAATAAACAGCATAGATCAAGCTCAAAACAAGCTCTCTAAGGGAGGAGTCACTTATTCTTACACAAATATATCATTAATCAAATAGTTACTGAAAAGTTTATTTATATCAGTAACTAACCAAAAAGTAATTTACACACATTTACACACATACTGGTATTTGTTAAGTGTTTTACAACTGTTAAATTGGATTGTTCTGGAGAGTTTGTGACATAATTTGTATTCTGCCAATGAAAAAATTGTCTTTTATTATGAAAATGAGTACTGACCTAATGGTTGTAAGTAGTTGCATCTCTGCATTGAAGGTTAAGCCTTCAAAGTAGGGATGCAACTACTGCCTATTTTGCTAATCAATTATTTAAAATGATTTAAAAAAAAAAAAAAAAATTCAAAAACATAATTCAGATTAAGATTTTTTGATCAATCGCTTGATAATCAAATAGCAAAACGTTACATAAAGAATATTTTTACAGAATTAAATCATGTGAAACTAAAACTTTTGCACTGGAGGAATTTTGGATAGAGTATATTGACGGACTATGAGATTTGTTGGGAGCTGGAGAAAATCCCATCTTTCTCCAGCAGAGTCCGCCGTGGATCCTCTGAGGGAGCCTCCTGCACAGCTGCAGCTCATCTAGATCATCAGAGGATCCACTATATAAGCTGTCTTCAGACCTTGCCTCAACGCCGCAGTGTTGTTCCAGTTGGTCAGCGCTAAAGCCTAGATCTTTGAGTATCTCCATGACTTTGAATCCAGGTTGGATTCTAACCACTATCTCTGTGTTTCCAGGAAACCCGTGTCTCTTCCGTGAAAGCTCAGGAAGAGCTAACCTGCCGAGCCGACCCTCTGAGCCAAACCCTGAAGATTCTCTGAGAACCTCCAAGCAGCTCTGGACTAGAGCTGGGAAACCAAAGCTAAGGTCTGTTCAAGCTAGACGTGAGACGCTGAAGCAGCAAACGGACTCTGCTGATAAACACCTCTCCAGAACCAACAGTGACTCTCCCTAGGAGAACCTCAAGAACCCTCAAGGTACAATCAGAGCTCACTTGGAAATCAGATCCTGTCAACAGTCCTTAATCGCTCTGTCTCTCACGCAGACTCCGGTGAAACCAGAACCCAGGCCCGAACCAGTCATCAGTACATTCTGTGTGTTGTGCATAATAAACGTGTTAAACTTTCATCCTTGTGTCCGTCAAGTGGTGTTCTGCATAACTGGGTCTCCATTTGAGAACCCATCATGAAAGAACACTGCGGCCAAACTCTAGGCCCAGCAGAACATCTCCGTCAACTACTGGAGGAGCGGGATGCCCAAATCCACAGACAAGTTCAAACTCTGAGTGAGTTAAATTCACGAATTGATTTTCAGGATCATCTAGTCCGTAATTTCTCTAGTCGATTGAACAATGCTAACATTACCCCATCCCCACAACCATTTCCGGGTCCAGTTCCCCCTCCGAGGTCACCAGCAGTGACGTCATCAGAGTTCCGCCCTAGTCTACCAGAAAAATTCTCTGGCAAGATGAAAGAGTGCAAGGGATTTTTATTTCAGTGTCGTTTGATGTTCATGAACTCCCCTGGTTGTTTTCCCACGGATCAAAAGAAGATAACATTTATTCTCTCTCAGTTAACAGGGAGAGCCTTGGAATGGGCCCAGGCCAGATTTGCTTCCGACGAGAGCTTAAACTGCTATTTCTCAGACTTCATCTCAGAATTTAACCAGGTATTTAATCAGGAAACTGACCAGGCTATTGATTCCAGAGCCCTTTTCAGCCTTAAACAAGGAAATTCCTCGGTGGCAGATTTTTCAATTAACTTCCGGGTTAAGGCGGCAGCTTCCGGATGGAACCAAAGCGCCTTGAAGGGAGCCTTCTTTATGGCATTAAATGAACAGATAAAAGATGAACTAGCAACCCTCGATGAACCTGCTTCCCTCGAGGATTTAATTCGCCTCTCCATTAGACTTGATAATAGGATTCGAGCTAGAAACGGTTCTAAGAAGCAGAGTAATTTCTCTCCCGCCTCACATAACGTGACTGTTTGTTCTCCCTCTACAGAGCAGATGCCCACTCAGAAGTCTAATCCCCAATCTCTACCATTGCCTGTTCAAGCCACTCATTCGGGGGAAAGGGTTTTTGAACCAATGCAGGTGGGACACACTAGGCTCACTCCTGAGGAGAGACAGAGGCGTTTCCTAAGTAAACTTTGTATCTACTGTGGCGAGAGTGGACACTTCATCGCCTCCTGCCCGGCAAAATCAAAAGCCGGGGCCCGCCAGAGGATCTGAGGAGTCTGGCGGGCCAAATAAATACAATAAAATCTCCTCGTTTGTTGCTGCCTGCCACGCTCTTCTATGATAACCAAAGTCTCTCTTTCTCCGCTTTCATCGACTCAGGCTGTGAGCGTAAACTAATTGACTCTAACCTCGTCCTGCAACTCCGGATTAAAACCGTTCCTCTCTCTCAGCCTCTCAGTGTTTCCGCCATAGACGGAAAAAGACTCCACCGTGTTACCCACCAAACCCAGCCCCTCGAGCTACTCCTGCAGGTAACCACCGAGAGACAATAACTTTCTTTGTTTTTCCCTCTGCATGTTCCCCGCTGGTCCTCGGGTTCGAGTGGTTGGAGAAGCATAACCCTCACATTAATTGGTCTAAACGTCTTCTGGAATCATGGTCCACTACTTGCCACGAAACCTGCCTTCGTTCGGCTGCCCCTATGGTGGGGCCTCCTAGTGGTGGGGGGGAGATGGACTCTCCTGACCTTTCTTCAGTTCCCTCTGAGTACCATGACTTAGCCCCTGTCTTCAGTAAGGTCAGTGCGACGTCCCTACCTCCACACAGACCATACGATTGCGCCATTGAACTTTTACCTGGTGCACCTCTTCCTAGCAGCAGATTGTATAACATTTCCAAGCCCGAGAGAGAAACAATGGAAAAATATATCAACGAATCATTAGCTGCTGGAATAATTCGCCCTTCATCCTCTCTATTGGGCGCCGGGTTCTTCTTCGTGGGCAAGAAGGATGGTTCCCTGAGACCCTGTATTGATTATCAAGGTTTGAATCAGATCACAATTAAAAATAAATATCCACTGCCTCTTCTCGCCTCCGCTTTTGAACCTGTACAGGGTGCAACAGTGTTTTCCAAGCTGGACTTAAGAAACGCCTATCATCTCCTTAGGATACGAGAGGGCGATGAATGGAAAACTGCCTTTAAGACACCCTTGGGTCAATTCGAATACCTGGTGATGCCCTTCGGTTTAACAAACGCTCCTGCCTGCTTTCAGGCTTTGGTTAATGATGTCCTCAGAGATTTCCTCAACGTGTTTGTTTTTGTGTACATTGATGACATTCTCATTTATTCCAAGGACCTCCATGAACACAAGAGACATGTCCGTCTTGTCTTACAGAGACTACTGGAAAATAAGCTGTTCGTGAAAGCCGAGAAGTGCGAATTCCGTCAACCTTCAGTCACCTTTTTGGGGTTTGTGCTCGAGGGCGGCCAGGTAAAACCTTCAGAAGACAAGATCAAAGCAGTCTTAGACTGGCCAGTGCCTGAAAACCGAAAACAGCTACAGAGGTTTTTAGGGTTCGCTAACTTCTATCGTCGATTCATCAGAAACTACAGTCAAACCGCCCTTCCATTAACCTCTCTGACTTGCATTAAACAAACTTTTCAGTGGACTCCCGAGGCTCAAGCTGCTTTTGAGAAACTCAAATCCTTGTTTTCTAGAGCTCCCGTTCTGATTCAACCAGACCCAACAAAACAGTTCATCCTAGAGGTGGATGCTTCAGATTCTGGGGTTGGAGCGGTTCTCTCCCAGAGGCTCGACTCTGATCAGAAAATACACCCCTGTGCTTTCTTCTCTCGTAGACTCTCTTCCGCAGAACAGAACTATGACGTGGGTGACCGAGAGCTCCTGGCTATTAAGTTGGCGTTGGAAGAATGGAGACATTGGCTGGAGGGAGCTGAGCATCCGGTTCTTGTGTGGACTGACCACAAGAACCTGGCTTACATCCAGTCAACAAAGCAGGCAAATCCTCGCCAATCCAGGTGGTCAATCTTCTTCTCACGTTTCAACCTTATCATTTCCTACAGACCCGGATCCAAGAACGTGAAGCCCGATTCTCTCTCTCGTCTCTACTCCGTCGATCATCCAGAGACACCTGAACCTGTCCTTCCAGCTTCATGTACCATTGGAGTGGTCAATTGGGAGATAACGGGTCTTATCAACTCTGCCCTAGCCACAGAACCAGATCCAGGTACCGGTCCACCTAATCGTACATATGTCCCATCTTCTGTCAGGTCCCGTCTGATCCAGTGGATGCATGCCGCCAAATTCACCGCTCATCCAGGAGTGAGTAGAACAGTTGCTCTCATCTCCAGGCGCTTCTGGTGGCCCACACTCCACAAAGACGTAAAGGAGTATGTGTTGGCTTGCCCCACATGTGCCCGCAACAAAGCCTCACACCAACCTCCTTCAGGCCTGCTTCAACCACTACCTGTTCCCTCGCGTCCTTGGTCCCACATAGCCATTGATTTTGTCACCGGTCTCCCTGTCTCCCGAGGTATGTCCACCATTCTAACCATTGTTGATCGTTTCTCGAAGTCCTGCCATCTAGTACCCCTCAGGAAACTTCCCACGGCCTTCCAGACAGCCCAGCTACTTATTAAACATGTTTTCCGGCTTCATGGCATTCCCCAGGAAATCCTCTCGGACAGAGGCCCACAATTCATTTCTCAGGTATGGAAGGCTTTCTGTTCTGCTCTCGGTTGCAAACCATCCCTCACTTCAGGTTACCACCCTCAATCCAACGGCCAGACAGAACGAATGAACCGCTGGAATCCACCCTCCGCTGTCTCACCTCCAATAACCCCGTGGATTGGAGTCAATACCTTCCGTGGATAGAATACGCCCACAACTCTCACCGTTCTGCATCCACTGGACAGTCCCCATTCCAGGTCAGTCTCGGATACCAACCACCTCTTTTCCCCGCAGATGAGAGAGAGATATCGGTGCTGTCCGTCAACCAACACATCCGTCGCTGTCAGAGGATTTGGAGGGAGACCATCGCCACACTCAATCAATCATCTGAGTCAGTTAAACGTTTCGCCGACGCCAAGAGACGTCCCGCCCCCGAGTATTCTGAAGGCCAGGAAGTGTGGCTCTCCACTCGAGACATCCCCCTCAAGGGGATGTCTCGAAAACTCTCCCCGAGATTCATTGGACCCTTCAAGATCTCACGAGTCATCAACCCCTCAGTTGTTCGTCTCCAATTACCTCAGTCCCTCCGAATCCACCCTACATTCCACGTCTCCCAGATCAAGCCTGTTTCTTCGAGCCCTCTGTGCCCACCGTCCGACTCCCCACCACCCGCCCTGGAGGTCGATGGCCATCCGGCCTTCACAGTGCGCCGCATTGTAGACTCCCGTCGACGAGGTCGCGGATGGCAGTACCTCGTCGACTGGGAGGGCTACGGACCGGAGGATCGTCAGTGGGTCCCAGGCTCGTACATCCTCGACCCTACACTTATCGAGGAGTACGAGCGTTCCTGCCCATCTACCTCTTCCGCACCGCCAAGGGGCGGTCGTTGAGGGGGGGGTACTGTTGGGAGCTGGAGAAAATCCCATCTTTCTCCAGCAGAGTCCGCCGTGGATCCTCTGAGGGAGCCTCCTGCACAGCTGCAGCTCATCTAGATCATCAGAGGATCCACTATATAAGCTGTCTTCAGACCTTGCCTCAACGCCGCAGTGTTGTTCCAGTTGGTCAGCGCTAAAGCCTAGATCTTTGAGTATCTCCATGACTTTGAATCCAGGTTGGATTCTAACCACTATCTCTGTGTTTCCAGGAAACCCGTGTCTCCTCCGTGAAAGCTCAGGAAGAGCTAACCTGCCGAGCCGACCCTCTGAGCCAAACCCTGAAGATTCTCTGAGAACCTCCAAGCAGCTCTGGACTAGAGCTGGGAAACCAAAGCTAAGGTCTGTTCAAGCTAGACGTGAGACGCTGAAGCAGCAAACGGACTCTGCTGATAAACACCTCTCCAGAACCAACAGTGACTCTCCCTAGGAGAACCTCAAGAACCCTCAAGGTACAATCAGAGCTCACTTGGAAATCAAATCCTGTCAACAGTCCTTAATCGCTCTGTCTCTCACGCAGACTCCGGTGAAACCAGAACCCAGGCCCGAACCAGTCATCAGTACATTCTGTGTGTTGTGCATAATAAACGTGTTAAACTTTCATCCTTGTGTCCGTCAAGTGGTGTTCTGCATAACTGGGTCTCCATTTGAGAACCCATCATGACAAGATTGTTTTATAATCTAAAATGCAACTGCTCTAAGTAGGTCACTTTGAGTTTCTATACTCCAGTTAACGATTATTCGATCAAATTAGATGACGGTTATTATAATAATAGATTAATCACAATTAATCTGGTTTATCTTTTTAGCCCTACTTTAAAGGTCTCAGTTAAAAAAAATAATACGCTCAGAGTGATTTATAAAAAGCATATTAATTGAATGTGCTGTAATTAATCAGAAGGAAAATTCGTTGTAGAAATTGGTGTACCGGCAAAATGAAATCGTTCTAATTACTGGTTTAACATCTATTTTCTATTATTTTCTATTTTTAAATACCAATCCAAAGAGTATTGTTAGGTACAGGAAGATCAAAATCATAAGACCTAACAAGAAACCTAAATTTAAAAAGATAAGGCAGTCTAGGCCTCTTTAGCATGTTAGTATACCTACTGTACACCTAAATGCTACAATACTCTGTCGCAGATATTCAACCTAAACATGCCACCATCAACTTTTGAATCCATATACCATACAAGACAAGCACAAATTGTAAACATTCTGTTTAAACTTGGCTATAAATGTCTGGTAAATCTCATCCAAATACTGGACTTGGCTTGCCTCTATATTTTCTGCCCTACTTTTTCCTTTTACACATTTTTCCATTGGGATGTTTGGATATAAAACGCTTTAAACTGTAATAAACTTTTATTGCTTAACCACCTTGTGGAGGTTGCCACAAGACTTTCTCTGGGTTGTATTATATTAAGAACTTAAAATCAAGGTTTTATTAATATCATACTTATCTGATCAACTCAACAATCTTTTCATTAGCCGTATAGCCCGAATCATCAATGTTACAGAAATAAAGAATTCAAAATTGTACACTAGCACACAATGAATCTTTATAATATACATTTCTGAGTAGAATCACTTCAATATATTTGGTTGGGAATGATATCCTGATCTATTTAGGTTCACTATCAGGCTCTGTCAAGCTTTACTTAAGCAAGTATCAGAAGCTCTGTTACTAATTCCAGTTTTCTCTCACCTCCTCCCTACGATGCTCAGGCCCAGACCCTGGCCTGGCTTCTTATGCAGCTCAACAGTGAAGGAGTCCCAAAGCTCTTCCTCTTTGTACTGCGCTTCATCCCTGTAGACCGTCAGCCGAACCCTCTGAGGGGTCTGCCGCAGCACATTGATGGCTTCATCATGGCTGGCTGCTCGCAGGTCAATGCTGTTCACCTAAGAAAAGTTGAGGAAAAAACATTTTATCATTTTATTTTCAATTCAAAACTGTCTGGAAGTTTTCCTTCAAAAGTCTACTGGCAAAAGCCTCCCTCGCTTTGTTCCAGATACAGAAACTTAAAACCTACAAGGGACTATAAAAAGCATTAATAGCTGAATTTAATCCTGAAACAATTTCTTTTAACTGCTTTAAAAGTGCTGAGATGTTTGGAAACTGAACGACTAAAATCACAGGCTGATGTCAGAGGGATAGAAAATAGCTGCAGGGAAGCCTTCCCACAGACCTCTGCTGTGGTCATTTTAACAAGCCACGTCCAGGATTTGTGTTTATCACCACATTAAAAGGGGAAATGCCACATTAGCTTTCCCCGTGGACACGCAAGGAATTTTTCCCAGAGCAGCTAACTGGGAAACTTCTTTCTTTTCTTACTTTTGACCTTATTTTCTAAACACAGCAGCTTGGCTCTCAGGCAGAACAGAATAGCAGGGGGCAATTAAGTCATAATGATGTGTGTGTGTGCCTTTCACTCTAGGTCTACAGCGTGAGCCACAATAACTGCAATCATGAGCTCAGCCCCTCTGTGACAAAGCAGGAGGTCAGAGGGAGGGCAAGTCCACGTCGAGTCTTATACTTAACTTGACATAAAACACTCCTCCTCCAATTTCTTTTTACTTTGACTCAATACCAACTAAAGGCAGTTTGGATCAAGCGCTGCGTTCCAACTCAGAAGTTACTTCTATCTCTTAGGTTTGCTGTATTAATCTACTTGATCCTAATTTTGCTTTATTTAATTATCTAGTCCAAAAAATATTTTTGTATTTTTCCAAAGCACCTCTAGGATCTGATCTCCAGCCCACAGTCTGCCATCTTTGGAAGCTGCTCCTTCTTCGTAAACTTCGTGGATGATGATGGCTCCCTGAAGAGAGGGGTTGGGGGGGAAATGAACGAAAAGACAGGAGTTAATTTGTGGTTAACTATGCCTCAAAAAATAATTTACATGCCCTTTCATTTTTTTCTAATTCTGTAACATTAGAACTGCACAAGTCTACAATTTCTTTAAGCATTAGAACATGACCAAATGGTAAAAACCTGGTCTGATTGGCAAGAGAGCAACAAATCTTGCCTGACTCAAGGTTTTTCCAGTTTCACTTTAATTTTTGCATCGTATTTTATTGCGGGGTAATCTGGAGATGCCTGAATAGTTGGTGGAAAAAGTTCTAAGATAAAGAAAAAAAGTAAAAAAAAAAAAAGTTTAATTTTACAACCGTATCACCATTTGTTAAAGCTTTCTAAAAGTTTTCTGTTAATAGTTTAAGACATTATTGTCCAAAATGACCTATAGTGTCTTAAAACTGAAATGAGAGAAACATGAAAGGCAGGCAGGCAAAGTAAGGGATAAAACAAGGACACAAGGAAGGAGAGAAAACATAGAAGAAGCAGGCATGAAACAATGAAGGAAGGACAAAATAAGTAAAAATAAATAATAAAAAAGGACAGATAAGTAGGAAGGAAAGGAAGAGGGATAAGAATGAGTGTAGGGGAAAAGAATCATAGTAGTCAAGGACGGAAAAAACGGTACAGAGTGTAATTAGGACACAGCAAAGAAAGGAAGGGCAGAAAAAAGGGAAGAGGAAGATCAGGATGAAATGATAGAGGGTAGAAGAAAAAAATGAACAAATGAACAGAGTGAGAAATAAAAGACAATGAAGAAATAAAAAGGAAAGAAAGTTTGGAAAGACCAAACAAAACAAAGTAGGGGAAAACACAAGGCAGGAAAGAAGGACACGGGGAAGGAAGACTCATAAAAAGAAAAAAAAGACCAAATGAAAAAAAGGAGAAAGTACAAATGTAAACATAAAATGGAATGGAAGTAGGACACAAGAAAAGAAGTAAGATTATGAGGAAAACAAAAATAGCCCAGCTGTTATGGATGGAAGGAAGAAAGGATGAATACAGGGAAGAAAGAATGATAGGAGGTTGCAGAAAGGGAAAGACACAACATTTAGATAGCGAAACAGGGTAAAGTCTGGAACTGGAATGTTTTCAATACTGAGCAAAGCACTACATGACAGCAACCTGCAAAAACAAATTATATATTAAACCTTATTTCTCAACGAAACAAATTTTTCAGCTAAAGCTTGTCAGAATTTTCTTGCTTCGGCGTAGTTGTTCAGGTGGGGTCATGAGGAGACAAGGGGGTTACATTCCTGGGTTGGATGTTGTTTGCGGCAGCCGAGGCCAGACAAAGAGCAGCAGTTCCCCAAGCCCGACTGAGCAGATAGAATGGAGGGACTGCGAGGACGATGGCAGGAGGAAGAATGGCTGTGACAACATCATGTCCTGACCCGCCACGGCTATTTAAGACCTGTGCTATAGTGGTGAAAACATGGGTGGGAGCTGACCAAGTACATTTACAGTTTATTTTTAAAAATCTAGTCAAGCCTGAATTCCCTTGTTGGCTTGGAGGTGAAGCATGACAGTAAGAGTCGTGTTAGAATAAAGGGCAAGCCTTGTTTCACAGTCGGTTTCCTACCAGCAGGGTGTCGCAGCCTCCCACGATGCTCAGGCCCAGGCCTGTGCGCCCTTTGGAGATTTCAATGGTGGTCTCACAGCCAGGGATGATGGGGCAGGTTGCTGGGTCGCAGACCAGGGTGGAGGGGGTGGATGAGCGACTCAGACCTAAAAACCACACAAGCAATGGAAGACAGATGTAGCTAAATATGTTTTTGTTCATCTGAAGGCTAGAGATGCTGACTCACCAGTGTTTGCATCAGCCTCTGGATGACTTAAATTACTGGGAGTGATGCTAGGCATGCTGGGTAAAGTGGTGTGGCCTCCATCTGAGGTACTGGTGTCTTGACAAGCCACTTGAGGGGTTGGGAAAGAGGACGGAGTCTCATTTGTTTCGAAGGTAAGCTTCACTGGACCTTTGGCCTTTCTCAGTAAAGAATTCACCTGAGAGACATTAACATTTAGTCTGGTGCTGTTATAGAGACAATTATTACACCTTTTTTCTTTCCAATAGCATTTTAAACCTTTTCAATACTGTATCCAATAACTGATTCCCCATCCACGGCTAACAGTCTGTCCCCTGGTTTCATGCAGCCCTCCTGAAGATAAAACAAGGAAAGATGATTTGCAGTGAGAGGAGGATATTTTTATTGAATTTATGTTGAAAGCTTATCATACCTTTCCTGTGTTTTCCGTTGCTTTGGATATGCTCTGAATCTCAACACCAGACTCTGTGTTCCCCTCTACAAATGTGATGCCGTCCTCCTTTTAAGAAACCAAAAAAAAAAACACCATTAGTGCTGAGTTTTGATCCTACTAGTTCAAACATATCAGATAAGAGAAATGATCAAAGAGTAGATTTACACAGCAAACTAAGCACTTTAACAAACTAGTGCTTTTAACTTTGGTACCAACCGTAACTTTAAACTGTTCCCTTAAAATACGTCAATTTATTAAATAATATGACCCCAGAAATGAAATGTAGCAAACATAGCTACAACAAAGTACAGTTGTGGAACCTTTACGACATTGTGCTTTTATTTGGAGATTTTTACAAATCAAGGTCTATTCTTTCATTCCTTCATCACTAAGGAAAAAAAAGGTAGCTATTATCTGACTTAAAAAATGAAAACACACATGTTTTGATTGAACATAGACATATACATTGGGGTCAAGACCTACATTAGATAAGAGGAAAGCTGGACATAGTAAAACAAAGTTCTGTTTATTACTCTCAAGTTTGCAGCCTATGATTGCCATGGGATATTCTGAATTTGAAAAAAGTGGAATATCTTTTGGGAATAAAACTATAGTAATTATGTTCCTCAAGGCTCCATTCTGGAGCCCCTACTATTCGACATTGCAGATTTAGCAAACAACAAGATCAGTAATCATAATTATGCAGGCAACATTCAGCTTTACATCCCAATGTCACCAGTTGACTATGAATCCATCAGAGGTAATAATCTTTAGACAAAAGGAGGAGAGATCCAGAGTTAGCTCAAACCTTCACCTATTAAAGCTAGAAACCACTGATTGTAGCCGAAATCTTGGTGTCATGATGGACTCAGACCTGAACCTTCAGAGGGACATTAAGGCAGTCACTAAGTGAGTCTTTTATCATCTTAAAGGAATAGTACACCCAAAACATGATTAGCCTTCATTTTCTACTCACCCCCATGCTGAACAACACTCTGGAGTACTTTTTTGATATCTCAAATGCATCTGGAGATCTGGGAGGCTTCTTGCTATCTGCTGACATTCAAATAATGGAGGTCCATGGCGCCCGAGACAGAAAGGTCCACAAAAGTCCACAAAAACGTGTCAATATTCCTCCATACTGCTCGTCCAATGTAATCCAAGTGTCCTGAGTGGGTAGCATCCAGAATTTACTCGAAACGAAGTCATTTAGAACGTTTTAGATTCTAAACAGTAGTGTATAGGATTTCCTAATAGCGCCCCCATGCGCGCTCACGATTCTACGGAAGCTGGCAGACCAAACCGGAAGAAAGTGCGCATTCAGCGTCTGCTCTGCCGATAATGCAAGCGTAGAAGAAGAAATGTGCTGTTTACCTGTGCAAAGAAAGAAACAACGAAAGAAAAATGTCTGAGGACTTCAGTGATAAGGAAGAGCATGAGTTCTTTGCCGAGCTGAATGCGCTGGTTTGGTCTGCCGGCTTCCGTAGAATCGTGAGCGCGCATGGGGGCGCTATTAGGAAATCCTATACACTACTGTTTAGGCTCTAAAAACATTCTAAATGACTTCGTTTCGAGTAAATTCTGGATGCTACCCACTCAGGACACTTGGATTACATTGGACGAGCAGTATGGAGGAATATTGACACGTTTTTGTGGACTTTTATGGACCTTTCTGTCTCGGGCGCCATAGACCTCCATTATTTGAATGTCAGCAGACAGCAAGAAGCCTCCCAGATCTCCAGATGCATTTGAGATATCAAAAAAGTACTCCAGAGTGTTGTTCAGCATGGGGGTGAGTAGAAAATGAAGGCTAATCATGTTTTGGGTGTACTATTCTTTTAAGAACATTTCTAGGATTAAAGGACTAATGTCCAAGCAGGATCTAGAAAAATTAATTCATTATTTACATTTAGTGGAATTGATTACTACAACAGTGTCTTCATAGGTTTGCCTAAAAAGTCCATTAGATAGTTGCAGCTTATCCAAAATCCTGCGGCCCGGGTTCTCACTAGAACCAAGAAAGAAGAGCATATCATCCCGGTTCTGAAGTCCATACACTGATAAGTACTTATCCTGTAGCTCAGAGAATATAATTTAAAATCCTTCTGTTAGTCTATAAATCACTGAATGGATCAGCACCACAATACAAAACAGCTGCATATAAACCTCCCAGACCACTCAGGTCTTCTAGTTTCAGCCTACTCTGTACACCCAGAACTAGAACCAAACATGGAGAAGCAGTATTTAGTTCCTATGCTCAACGTATCTGAAAAAAAAAACATTCCAGAAGACTGTAAAAGTGCTAAAACACTGAGTTCTTTAAACCAGTTAGAACCCAATTTGCTTAGAGCTGCCTTTGACTGTTAAATTGTTAACTGAGGTAATATCAGTTTAAGGTTGTCATCCAACTGTTTTATCTGTTTACTGCCTGCTTTTATAATGTTTTTATCTTAACTTGCTTTTACTCTGCTTTAATTTTCCTTCTATTCTATTGTTTAATTCATGTAAAGCTCTTTGAATTGTCTTTGCACTAAATTGGGCTCTGCAAATAAACTCGCCCTGCCACGGGAAATTGTGGTTTCGATCAGCGCCTCTTTTCTGCCGCATGCTGATATGCCCTTAGCAAAGTCATTAAACCCAAGTATATCCTATTAAATTAATATTCATAGTTTTCTTATTCCACACACCTCAGCTTCTTTTATCAAAAAAAAAAAAAAATACATGAAATAGGCTCAATTCATGAATCTGACCATGTCCCCATTACACTTAATCCTTAAAAAAAAATCCTTGATAAAATATTAGCAAAAAAATATAAATATTACCTATTCTAACCACAACTATAAACCCAGGTAAAACTGCACTTGTACAAGGTCATTGTTCAAATACTAAAGTGAGATGCCTTTTGGGAATTATACATTGTATTGAACATGAACCAGGGACACAACAATCATCTTGTTAGAAGAATGAAACATATTAAATCACCTTGAGAGGTGATTTTTGTTTAAAGTGATAAGAAATTTGGGTTTTTGTGGTTCTTTTATTCAATGGGTACAATTGCTTAATAATTTGCCTAAAGCTGTCGCAATGTCAAATGGTATAACATCTAGACGAATTACATTATGTAAATGGACTAGGTGTCTCTGTCGCTGTTACTTTTTTAGTTTTTTTAATAAGATGAGGTAATAAGTGGCATTTACAGTTGAAAATCAAAGCATGTTATCTCTATATGTTGATGATATTACAACTTTTCTTAAGAATACAAAGAAAAGCATCCTATATGATTAAGAATGATTAAAAAAATGAGTAACTTTTCAGGATATAAAATTTATATAAAATGTCCCCATACATCGTTTAAAAAAAAAAACTTTGTTAGTGTTATTGTCTGAGTGTGCATGTGTTTGGATGGGAATAGACAATATTAATAATGACCATATTTGGGTGGTAGATAGTGGATAGTGGGTCATGGGAGAGTAACTAACTACTGAATTGTAATTATTAATCCTATGTTAATGCTTTGCACATTATTTTGGAGGGTACTATTATGTAAAACAGCCATTTAGAATGTTACTGTCATCATAATATGTTCAAAAACATCCATATTATAAGTAATTAAAGATCATTTAATAAATGGTTAAAAGTTCGTACTATTAGAAAGGTTCTTTTTAAAGTAAGTTGCACCGATTTAGGGTTTGGAGTGGAAACTATATTTGGTTGTCTGGTTAAACTTCTTATTTTACTGCTTTGAGTTCTGTTATCTATTCCTGTACATTTTTGCATGTTACTTGTTTTTAGTTTGTTTTTTGTTATTTAAACTGGCTTTGAAACGAAGAGATCTAAACAAAATCTTGTATGACTGACAAGTGCAACCTCAAGGGGTATAATTACCTCAAGCCCCATTCTCACTTTTCTTCAGCTGAGTTCTTACAAGAATTAGCTATAGGAGAGGCTGATATGAGTGGAAGGACCACCTATAGGTATGTGTCCTTTTAAAGCTGTGACGATGAAAAGATCAAACCACAACCTTTGAAAAGCTTCAGTTAAGACATGCTGTAAGAGATAAAGATATGTTCCTTTCATCTTTGCTAACTGAACCATTCACTTCCTTTAGCATGCCTTTTCTTCCATTCACTACAGGATGTCTTTACTTCCCCCATTTTTATTCTACAATTTTCCCAACTATTAACTGTGTTTTTGCAGCTCATCATGCTTGAATGCCCTTTATCTGCTCTAGCTTTTTTTCCTTTCATTGCTCCTTTCATGTCTTTTCTGCTCCTTATGTGCTGATTGCAATGAACAAAAGTGTGTTTGTCTCACCTCCACTTTTATTACGTCATGAAGATGTTTTGAAGTATAATCGCCGTCTGAAGTATCATCAGACTCTTTTGTCTGTGAGAGAGGATGACATGGTTTAAGGAAACATAGCAGTTGGAAATTCAGTCATGCATCAATCTAGCTTTAAAACAACTTGTGGTTTCCGATGTGAGGTCGTCTTTTCATTTGCATGCCACTGGAAATTCCAGGACCACACATTGGGACAAAAATCGGGGCTTAATTGCTGTAGATGAGGAGTAATGATGAAGCAGCTCAAGTGCTGCTCTATAATAGCTGCGTGTTGTGGGTGTAGGGAGTCTTTTATGTGTGTTGCCAAGAGCTGACACGTACCTCAGTGTGGGGCTCTGCCGTTTCTTCCTCATGCTCTCTCACAGGTCCCACAGCCATCTGGTTCAGTGCCTCTGTGTTCCTGTTTTCACAGAGTCATAATTCACATAAATCGCTGCTGCTCTGCCGATGGACAGCTGAATGGTAATTTACGTGAGCTGATCCCAGTCTGTCTGTCTGGAGGGGGCTGAGACTGGGAGTTAAGAGGAAGGTTAAGTACTGCGATCTTGGTGAAGACTAAACCAGGGTCAGGGGGTCAGATCAGTCTGTGGAGATTTGGTAGCTAATACTACTTGCTTTACAAGGCAACACACATCAGTTAGAGCTAAGGCTTTTTATCATAATATATATAAATTGAGGATTTCTTTAGAGAGTATGGGAGTGTTTGGATTTTTTCCAAGGTATTTTCCATTTCTAGATCAGTATGGGAAAGAAATATGAGAGAAATAAATTTGTAATGCCTATGTCTCCATCCATCCATCCATCCATCCATCCATCCATCCATCCATCCATCCATCCATCCATCCATCAATCCATCCATCCATCCATCCATCCATCCATCCATCCATCCTGTTATTAAACGTATAACACTGAAACAGAAAGGGCAGGGTTTCTGGAAAATTTGATTTATCAAATTCTAAGAAGGGAAGTTTATTGAAGCATCTTTACATTCTGTTTTATATTCCATAAAAATTAAATACAAAGTGTTCTACTTAAAGATAAGCTGTGTTTTAGTCCCATCCTAGGTACCTGATGAGGTTTATCTACGTTACACACTTTACATTCATTTTTAAGCTGTTAAAAGCTGTTTGTATACTAGATGAAAATGATAAATGATGATAAATTAATAAATACTTGCTATAATATATGTCAAGGTATCTATCAAATATTTATAAAAAAAAAAGCAACAACCAGTTTCACTTATAATAGAGAAGAACAACAGCTCTCTCTAGTGACTAGTAAGGAACATTACACTCTCAGGGACAATATGCAGCTCTTCATGGATCTGAAGCCCTCACTTATTCTAAAAACATCATATATTAAACAAAAAAAAATGTTTCTATACCTGATAAAGACAATTTTAACTTTGGATGGAGAGCTCTTGATGATGGATGATGCATTTTGATGACTTTGGCCATAAAGAACTTGCCCGTTGATCTAACAGAACATAAAAAAAATGTAATTAGTATGAGAAACCAGCCAAGCCAAAAAAAAAAAAAAAAATGAAAGAAATGTTGATTAAAGACATTTGAAAAGATGTTAATGAAGTCTTGCTGCTGGAAATATAAAGGGTTGGAATATTCATACTGGTTAATCTTTTTGCAAATTTTGTGATGTAATTAAGACATACAACAGTGATACTATAGGTTATCTATGCCTAAGCCAAAAAAACAGTGCATGGTTGTGAAGTGAAAAGAAAATGATACATGGCTTTCAAAATAGTTTACAAATAAACATTTGAAATTTGGTGCATGCATTTTCATTCGAGTTATTCTAACTCGGAAGCTCGAAATCTACAGTAAACACAATTCAAACAGAGTATAATTTAATCTTGGTATTAATCCAGCAGTTCTGTAAAGGCCTCAGAGAACAGGCACAGAACTTTATGGAAAAAAGCAAGGAAAAGAGCAAACAATATTTAGACATAAAGTTGTGGAGAAATTCAATTGGAGTTAGGTTATAAGACTACATCACAAGCTTAAAACTTCTTATGCAGAACTTTTCCATCTATCTTCTGTAAACAGAAACAGTGCCTCTGTTCCCTGTCGCATTATTCTGAGAATCAAACCCATTTAACTATTACGGGGCAACAATGAACAGCTAAGGTGGGATGTTTCGTCTGTAGTCTGAAGCTGTTATTTTTCTTTTTGTTAATGTAAATCTGAGTATGCAGGTGCTGAATTGGATCCCAAAAGATTGGAGAAAGTGGATTGGTGAAGAGATGCAGAAGACGCATATAAAGGACGTCAAGGAAGACTGCTTGCCCTCCCTCTGCTAAGCTTATCCAAACCGGCCACAAATTGCTTCACCTCTGCTGTTCAGAATGTCGTTAATTGTTGTTAATTTGCAAGTAGGATGTAGGAATGAATCGCCATTTATTCTTGAACTATTGCTTTCAGGGAGGTAAGTTTTTGCCATTGGTTTGATTGGTTCATTTCATTAGGTAAGTGTGGTTTCTCGAGATAGGTAATTTGTTCATTGTATTCAGCCTCGGATTACTATGAAGACTATGCATTGCGTCCTCTAAAGCAAAATATGCTATCTATATTCCCCTAATAAATCAACACACTGCCTGTTGAAATTTAAAAATGTGGTTTCTTATGATATGTTGAGCATTGGACCACTAATAATATGTTGCAATCAGAGCTTTTCTCCAAGACTGGCCTTTATGTTTAAGTGGCAGGAAGAAATTGCTGAAAAGTCCAATTTACATTAGGCAAAGGCAATGCAGGACGCAGCAACATGCTGTAGGGGACTATCGTCTTCAGGGAGAAATTATCAAATATAAGAAATATGCTAAGCTAAATACAAGGCTACCCTGGAAGGAAACCTGGTAGACACCAGAACAACAAGCCTTACAATATAATGCTTTAGAAAAATTATATGTTAGAATGGCCTAATCAAAGCCTAGATTAAAACCTAATAACAATCTGTATCAACACATAAAAGGTATTGATTACCAATGTTCTCCAATCAATCTGACTGAACACATGGTCAGCAGATTCAAGGGTTCAATAGTTGAAAAAGTTATGAAAGCTTAATAAGGCACTATTCAAAGACTTTTGTGTGAGTTAACCCAAGTTATCATTTTTGATCACTTGCAAAAAATGACCAAAAAGGACCCCCCGTCCCTCAGTGAGGTCTTTCTATAGAAGCACTTTTGTTTTTCTTAACATATTCGGGAAGGTTGGCTTTTTTTTCACTTAGTGCCATATAAAGGGTTAAATTTCTACACATAACTTGAAGTATTACAAAACCGATTAAAATAGCTAGAGATCTTACTTCCAGTAACTCGTCCCCCACCACCATCCGTCCATCCCTGCCAGCAGCTCCGTTGGGGTCTATTCCCACCACGAAGACACTCATGCGGGAGCGGTCCCTGTTCCCTGCCAGGCTGAGACCAAGGCCCGTCTTGCCTTTCTCCAACTCAATCATGTGTAGGACCCCTGGGAGGCTGCCATAGCGCTGGATTATGTTCCCTGTAAGAGGCAGAAGATGCTGTAAACCGTCTGTAATGCCTGCCAGTAACAGCTTTGTCCTGAATCTAATGAGCTCAAATAGCACTGCTCAAAATTTGTAAAGATTTGGCACTAGTGAGACTTTTGTTTCACCCTCTAACAGAGTCTAAATTGTGAATCTCTCCTCTTCCGCTTTTTTTTTTTTTCGGTCTCTGGTGTGTTAGATAGTCACTCAGTTCAACTGGCTTCTGTTGTTCTGGGCTCCCTGCCACTGTTAAACCATCAACCCTGTGCTAATCTCCACCACTCACCTCCCCAAGCCCAACCTCATCAATCTTATTCCCCCAGGATGAGCCTCGGCCTATCTCCCACCAAACACACACATGCATGGACACACAGATGCTCTTCACAGTCTCAGGTGTTTGGAGGTTGGAAGTCTCCCCTCTGTGCTCTCCCATTCTCTCTTAAGTGTTGAATCCATCCTAAAACGTAGCACCTGTGGTTATAAAAGCCTTTAGAATGTTACTGCGGTACATCAGCTCACAGAATATATGTTTTTAATTGTATCCTATTTGGAAAGCCTGCTTGGCTGAGCTTAAACTAGAAGATTTTTATGTAATTTAAAGGAAATACATTTAATTTAAATCAATCTCAGATGATATTAATACTATTGTTGCATAGAAGTGCAAATATTTAAACAATTTTACTGTAAAGTAACTTTTATTTTCAATTTAAGCAACCAGTCTTCTTTGCGAAAGTATTCTCTTATCTTCATCCTCTTCTGGTGAATGCAAATGTCTTCTGTGGGATCCTGCTGTCTAGGTAATTCCATTTAATTTTCTCTCTGTGAAGTCCTTCTTTTGTTGATTTCGATGTACAGTTAGACAGACAAAAACGCAGACAAATTAAATGAACCTTTATCTTTTTAAGAACACAGTTGATAAAAAACTTCCCCGTATTTGGAAGGATTCATAATTTCATTGACTTCAAACACTGAGTTTCATCAGCGTTACGGTAACCCCAGAGCACAATGCTGCGACCACTTTGTCTCATTGTGAAGATGGTGTTAATTTATCCTTTTTAGTATTGAAGAATATAACTGAACTAGGGTTCACATCAGTAGAAGACCCAATAAAATGTTTGCACCCCTTAAAATGTAGGATGGCACAAACCTGGATGTTCCCTCTTGCTGCAGGAAATTTCAACAAGTATTGCTTTATCTTTGTAACGTGACACAAACGTCCTGTAATCTCTCTACACCTAGTCTGTGGCATGTGTCTGGGTTAGACAATCCAAATATAAACTGTCTTCTCTTAGAAAAAAATACCCAGGTTTGGCTAAGAGCTCTTGAAACAATTTGAATTTGAAAAAGATGGTTTGTGGTCTGACGAAACCAAAGAAATCTCCTTCAGAGCCAGCGGTCCTTCAAACACGACTATGCTGAGAGAGGGCCGTTACAGACTGGCAGCGGTTAGCCCTGGCTGCTGTTAGCCTCAGAGTTCTGCTGGTTGCCGCAGTCCTCTCAACCTTGGAAATATTTTTTTAAATTACGCATTAAATCGGTAAATTGCCCATAAAGTGACTTTTTAAAGTGTAATATTCTCGCCTCAAATGATCATAAAATGTACTTTTATCGAACAACAGAAACAGCAAAGAGAACTTTTAACTTTCAATGGAATGCTCCATTAAAAGCAGCTGCTGCCGCAGTGGATGCTATTGTTCAATAGTTGTTGCCATCTTCCTAGTGCTTTCTCAGGTGTCACGCAGTTTTGTCGTCACGCCCTCACAACCCCGCCCGCTTTGCATCCAAAAATTCGAAACACATCTCTGCGTTGTGATTGGCACCAAACTCGCAGAAAAAAATGATTTTGGCCGCTGGCGGGTGGGGCTAGTTTACTAAGCTATGATAAGCCCTGAATATTAGCAATTTTTAGCGGTTTAGTCTAACTGAGGAATTGCTGTCGAGTAAATGAGTCGATGCAATCAGCTGGTTTTCCTTGGATAGAAAACTTTGAACCAATCTGACTGCCTTGAGATGACATGTGTTGTGAATTGTCGCTATAACAATAAACTGAATTGAACTGATTTGATTTTCATCAGAAAAATCTGACATTTACCAGCACTGTGCGGGGCTTCAAGATCTACTGTAGTATGAAACATTTTAGGGAAAGGCAAGCTGAACTCACTCCAGCTGTATCCAAATTCATCCTCCTCTTCCTCATTCCTCTGCTCAACCGTTTCTTCAGGTCCTCCGGGAGCTTCAGGAAGCTTGTCTGTATCACTCTCTCCCACATGGGGCACCACTGGCAGAGAAAGGACGGAGCCAGTGGGAGATGCCTTTGGTGTGTCTCGCTTTGCCGGCTGGTCGCACCACAGGAGGGGAAGGCAGGAAAGAGTTAATTAATGAAAGACACAGACGGGGGGTTGAATGTTTCATATCTGATTTTGAGGGTTTTTTTTAAGGCAAAGAGAGGTTACACGCCTGACTTCAATTTAGGTTAGATTCAAGAAAGGACATGATCATTAGCAGGGTTCCTACACATTTTTACATTTTGGTTTTATAAAGAGTCTCCTTATTTGAGAACAAAACAAACTTTAAACTGGTTGAAAAGTAGATTATATTTATTATCTTAAGGCTTGGCAAATATTGAAAAAAAATGTCACGAAAAAATTGTAAAATGCTTTCAAATTTGTATTTGTCCTGACTTGGGGCTACAGTATACAAATAAACGGTTTTGAAATGAGGTGATAGACTTGAGATCTAGCGGTATTTGGATCAAACTTGATCAGCTCTAGTTCAAATTTATAACTAATGGACTCACTATGTTAAAAAAAAGAGAATACACTAGATAAAACATTAAGAGAAATTAACACACATTTAAAAACCCTTTTAACTCTATTTCGTTAGTATAATAAATCCAAAACAGTGAAGATTTAGTTCTTTGCTTTACACTTTACACATAATCTAAGAACCACAGCTCAGGATGGAATTAAAAGTACAGTTTTTAAATACAGAAAATAGAATGGAAAGTTTTTATTCTTTAAATGAGAATGCCTTCAGTTAACATAAAAAAAAAAACAATATACCTATGGGTAAAAAGGTAAAATGGCTATGTAATGTGTGAAATTAAATAAAAACAATTGATTTGAATGAAAAAGAAAGTAAAACTACTGCATTGATTAAGCAATATTAGAATCTTAGGCTATAAAAATAGAAGACAAAAGCATATTTATATAGAAATATTTCAAATAATATTTCACACTTTTCCAGAATTAATAAGAGTGTGTAGGAACCCACTGGATATGAATCAGCATTAGACTATTTAGCTTGTTCAGCCACAGGTGATTGCATATCTTTATCTAATAAAAGCATTGATACAAATTTCAAATTGCTGCAGAAAATCAAATCTGTAGATATATCTTTTCACTTACCTGAAAAAATTAACAATTTATCAGATTAACGATTAGGCTAATTTACTGTAGTGCACTATTGTTCTAAAGGAGTTGTCACTGATTACAATGAGACATAAAATGCAAACCTAAAGCAAGGGACGGGGGAGGATTTAACAAAACGTGAAAGACAGAGAAAGAAGGCGTTAGATTGCGGGACTGCAGGAACAGATAGCTTCACGTAAAAACACGCAACACATGCATAGTGTTGCTACAGGTGATTGGATTTGTCCAAGCATTCACTGAGGAGTGAGGCGGGATGCACAACACAGAGACGCACAAACCTTAAACGGGGTAGGGGTGAAAGGGTTAGTTGGGGAGAGGCGGAGAAAAAGCCTATTGTGACTGTCACCCTCCTACAGAGAAGAAAACAAGGGCAACAACTTTAGAGGACAACACATACGTGACAATAACAAACATGTATGAACAGACATGTACTGATGCTGGTTCTCTCCTCACTGTGGGAGACATGAGCGACTGGAATACCAACCTTGTCCTTGCTGTGACTCGGCACGGCTCTCTCCTCGATGGAGTCTGTTATCGATGGGTGCTGCTTTGAAGACAGACGAGAAGGTAAATCATTCTGCTCTGCAGCAGATAGCGTCAGAAGAGACTTTAAAAAGAAGAACATATTTATGATATAAACCCAGATGTCAGGAGAGAATTAGGGACACTGCATCGTGCAGCAGCTATGTAGCCCAGGTATTATTCCTAACAAGAAACAGTGTATATTGAAATTATTGTTTTTTTTATTACATATATATATTTTTTATCACTATTACTGCTTTAAAACTAGGCATTAGCTCACTAATACCTATATTGATGTTTTGAAAAATGTCATTATTTTGCTTTTACTATTTAAAAGTACAATTGATTAGATTAAAAAATGACCTATTGGAATCTTCTCTAGTTTGTTGAAGTGAGAATAAAAAAAACTTCCTCTCCCCACCTGTTGCTACATACTCATCGGATTAGTTGCCTGAAAGAAGGCCTCTACACCAGGGGTATTCCACGTTTTCCAGGCCAAGGACCCCCAAACTGATGTCGAGATGGAGCGGGGACCCCCTAATTATATATATTGTATGAAATAGTGTTATATAAAACTGGTCCTATAGTCACTCTATTACAGATGGAGTAATGTCTCCCTGGGATTATTAAAGTATATCTTATTCTGTCCGTCATTGATGGGACAGGTGTTGTGAATGAAACGGTGCCCAGCTTGAAAGACCTCCTGTGTGTCGCTAAATGTGTGCATTGATGACTGAAAGACATCTTCTGCCTCCATTTATCTGTTTACTACAGTGTGTTGAATCCATGTTAATGTGTATTTTAAGACATTTCAATTAGTGGAAACAATTGCACAAGGGAATATAAAAAAAAAAGCCTAATCAACCATAACCTTCACGACCCCCATGCAGTACCTCCATGGACCCCCTAGGGGTCAGAGACCCCCTATTTAAGACCTCCGGTCTATACCAATTTGGCTGTTTGGAAACTTAAGAAACTCTCTACAGACTTTCATTTGAAAGTGCTTTACTAGAGACTTAATGTTTGTCAAAGAACACTACTGCCATCTACCGGTTTGTGATGTCACGGTGCAGTATCGGCTGTTAAGCAAGTCCCAGTGCTGTATGTGGTGTTTGTCACAGTGCGCTATTATCCAAGTCATCTTGAAAACATTCTTTATCGTAATGTTGGGGACATATTCCGTGTTTTTTTTCTGTCCAGAAGTTTGATGGCAAATCGTCCGTAGAGGATCATGAATCAAAAAGATGAAATCACTCATTTTTTTTCCACCTTTACGTGATGTACTACAACATCCAACTGCCATGCACATGGGCATTGTCGGTTTAACTATAGCTCTTGCAAATTTCAATGATGAAGTCCTCTCGAAATCTTTAATAATTGTTGTTGATTGCAGATGTGTCTAGTAGCCGGAAGATGTCAGGAGTGAGGTGTTACTATGTTTGGGAAAAAATGCCCGTTCCCAGACTCGGTGATCGCAACAAAAATTATTGTTTTTAATTTTTTACTGATCAAAGCTAAATTCATTAAATCAATCATATTAAATGTAGGTATAAAGAATAATTCATTGATCTCTCCTTGCTGACAGGATTTTTCCTTCAAAGAGACATTGATGTTTTTCACATCTTTATATTAAAGCTAATCATACTATAAAGGTTTGTTAAAAAACAAGCAAACAATAATCAGGCTTTAAAATGCTTTGCCTAGAATTTGACCTAAAAAAAACTAAACAAAAAAAAGTGCACATCTTTTTTAGCAAACTATAAACAGAAACTAATCTTTTTCATAATCAATATGCTGAGCTAGGAATGATAATATCTGAGTTATGATATAAACTCAAGTCCATAACAAAGAGGAACTGCTAAAGATAAAAAGAACATATAGTAAGACCTTCCCATCTTATTTAATTTCATTTTGAAGACAATAAACAGCAAAGGCAAGAAGGGGAACGGCTAATTTAGAAATAAAGGCAAGATTATAGCTAAAGATGGTTTCAACAATGTATTTTTTGAATGTTTCCCTCAGCAAACATGCCCTAAACTACACACTCATGCATGTTTTCTTTCATTTACTCTTTCATAACCAACATCCAGAATAACATTGATTTCCCAAGTCAGGACAGAAGAGAAGGTCAAGCAGAAAGTTGACACAGACACAGGGTGGCTTTCTAACCTGAGGGAGGGCCGGCACTAAGGAGCTTTGATTAGTGCTGCAAAGGCTGGAGTCGCGGTGGCTATTTAGCTGCAGAAAGGGCAGGGGCGGCTTCTAGAAAGCAACACAGGACGGACAAGCTGACAACATGACACTTTAATGGGATGGCTATGGTCTTATAACAGAACCCAATCAAAAGCTGGGAGGGAGTAAAAAAAAAGGAAGGATATGAGCACAAAAGGCTTTTACTTAAATTAGTAAGCATTTAAGTGAGCAGTTTGCTTGAAGGAAGCAATTTCCTTAACATAAAAAAAAACTGGAGAGGAGTAACCTTCTCTGGAACGGTTTAACAGAATGTTTAAAGATACCTGCAGGCTACCTGTGGTTTTTTTATTGCTCACAACAGAAGAACCAGAATCTTATAAGGGAAGAGTGTGTTACCCTCTCTAGGCTGTAGAGATAGGCTGTATTTTAAAAAGTACCTCCAAATCATCCCTTTAAATAACATGAAAGTTATTGCAAATATTTCTTCCTAGAAATAGAGATAATGCTTCATATTTTGACCATCATAGCAATGAACATAATTCATTTTGGAATTTAATGATATATTTATGCAGTTCTTTTCAAGAACAAGTGTTGCATTGCAGGAGGTACGTGAAAACATTTAATATTTCACTTCCCAGATAAAGAAATACAACTAAATAGGAATGGGATGGGGCTTTATCTGTAAGGTAAAAGCTAAATAAACCAAGATTTTATGAACCAAAAACATTTTTTTTTATAAAAAGAATAATCAATCAATCCGGGGTTGTTGTTTTTTTCTATTTTGACTGATTAAAAAAAAGTCTATAAAAATTTTCATGAAGGACATGAAAAACATCCCACTGCTGGGGATTCAGTAGAAGGTCTGCTGTTTCATTAACAGAGTGAATGATAAAAACAGTAAAAAAGATATGTGAATCCAAATATTATTTAATTTTTTTCCTGATTTGTGAAGTTTAGATGTGTGTATAGGGGACTTGTTCAGAAAAGCTCAGTTTTTTGTTAAGAACCAGAGATTTGTAAAGATTTGTAACATAATTTGATTTTGCATTCATTTCAGTACTTTCAATCAGTCTCTAGGTAACACATTTATGTTTTTTTATTCAGAGCATTAAGTGTTAGAGTTAAGGACATTAAATTTATATTTTTTTATTTTATAATCAGTTGTACTTTCTATTTTTGGAAAATAACATGTTTGACCAAGGACGTACTCATGGTATGATAAAATGGCCAAAGGGGTACACAAGTCAAAATAGGTTGGGGACCACTGCTCTAGACCACCACCAAATATTTTTGTAATTATCAGCTCTCCTCAAAAATCTGCCATTCAGCTATTTGAATAATTACTTTAGCAGAATTGCTATAGTTGGTTTCAAGCCACCGGTAAAACTTTTTTATGCATGGTCCACAGGCTGTCAGTTTATCTGGAGATCACACCTCTCCAAATTATTTCGTGTTTATTAATTCTTGGTTTGCACATCGAGGACCCCATTTTTATAGGCATTTGGAATCATCATCCAGCTAAAACATCAAAGTATAAAAGTTTTAACCTTATTAGAGTCGATTTTAGAATTTTGAAGTACTTCCCTTTTTTTTTCCAACAAAACACCCCCTTACAAAAATACCAACACCATTATTTCATCAGGTGGTCGATTTTTCCTAAAGCTATTAACACTGCTTCCGGTAATAATTTTTTTTTTTTTTACCAGGTATTGGTAAAAAATAAAATAAAAAATTATATATATATATATATATATATATATATAGATAGATACACACATGTATACATATATATATATAATATTTTTTAGTTTTAACACTGCTTACTGTATCGCAGTTAGGGATGTCCCAATCTGATAATAATATTTGATATCGGATATATCCTTTATCTATCTATCTATCTATCTATCTATCTATCTATCTATCTATCTATCTATCTATCTATCTATCTATCTATCTATCTATCTATCTATACATACATACATATAAATATATATCTATATATATATATATATATATATACATATAAATATATATATATATCTATACATATATATATATATATATATATATATATATATATATATATATATATATATATATATATATATATATATATATATATATATATATATATATATATATATAAATTATATATATATATATAATATTCTTTTTACCAATTCCTCATAATTTAGCTCTTTTCACTGACTCTTTATTGGGGTGAAGCAGAATCTTAGGCAGAACCAGAGACAGAGCTGTAGGGTTATGAAAAATGTGGAGCTAGTCTATAGATTATTTTGGCACCAACCACTTTGTTGTGAGCAACTATCTTTTATTGTGGCATATTTAATTGGGCACTAGATTAAAATACTTCAATCAAAGGTTGGGTTTTTCTACGGTAAGAGACAGATTATTTAAAGGCTGTTAAAGATTCTTTATAATATAAGGTGGGTCAATAACTGTGGAGGATGCTGTACTGGATGAAAAATTACAGCTAAAATCGCGAACAGCATTACAAAATTGCTGAGTCACTATATAGTGGAGTACAGAGAGAAATGAGAGGAATATTTTATCAAGTCGAAGGGCAATGCTTGGGGAGTTTTCTGCCAATTCTTCTTGCAGAAAGCTTCTTGTTCTGTCGGGCAGTTGCTTTTCCTTCAAAAGTCATCCATACAGATTATTTTCCCATCAGCTTTTCAGTGTTTTTTTTTTCTCTATCATTTGTTGGCATTTTGTAAAAAATCATTTGTTATATCTTACAGTAAAAAAATTCTACATCCATTTGGCTTCAACATGAACTAAGCTGGTTGAAGGATCGTTCAGAGATGGAACAAGCATTCCTAAAATTAGGACACGGTGGTTCGTGCAGAAATAGCACAAACCACAAAAAGGCAGGCAGGGTGGAAAAAAAGCAGATTGAGTAAAACCATCAAATACTACTTCTGCTTTTTGCTAGATGCAAAAAAAACAAAAGAAACGAAAATATGCTTAGAATAAAAAATACACACCTGGAAAAAGGTACACGAAAAGATTTTCCAACAAAATTGGACAACGAAAAACGTAATAAACTTATTCAACCAATTGATAAATATGTTTCTGTTTAAATGAGAAGAAACGCCTTCATTGTTGTAGCATCTTTGGGGGAAAATAATTAAAAAAAATGTATTATTTGTACTTACAATTTTTATTTATTTTAATTGGATCAGTAGTTTAATCATCACTGACATTTTCATAGAAAGCAAACTACAAAAAAGGAGGAAAATAAACCGGTATGAATTATTTTTTATATTGTAAAGATTGATTGTTGTTTAGGCAACTTATATTTCTAACAGCAATCCCCTTTAATAAACTATAAAATAAATACAAATACTTTATCATTAATATCTCAGTTTTTTTTAACCGTACTATGATTAGATTGCTCTATAGATGCCTCATTAATGTATTCCTTTTAACTCAGGTAAAAGAAAATCAAGCAGGACAGGAACTTCAAGCATAACTTTTTTCGTGTAAAATCAAATAAGGAAATAAACTTCCTTCAAATCTCTGACTGTTTTTAGGGAGTTTTAACATTTTGCATGGCTTTTCACTCACACAGAACTGTTAAATTGATGTTTGTGTAAACGCAGATAATTTTTCTTGTTCTTTTTGGAGTTTTTGGAATAGTTATAATTTTTGTTACACTTTTGCTTGTGTTTTTTTTTTTATCTCTTTCAGGTTTACAAAATCTCTCTTAATCCAGAATACATCAACTATTCCTCGTTTAGGAGAATTTACTGCTATTAATTAGTTATCTTCTTCTGTTATTTTGACCACAGAAGGCTCCACTGACTCAGGGCTTCTCTACATATATTTCCTTCTTCCTTTCCTTACAGTGTTTTTTTTTTATTGTATCTGTTTCCCATTGAAGTAATCTGTAAGATTTTGGTTCTGTTTAGTTGTGGCTTGTTATTGGTGAAAGCTCTGGACATCCAAACTCTATTTGTACCCCTTTTGTTTCCTTTCCTGTACAGGGTACTCTTGGATTAAAGTTTCCATTTTTTGCCGATTAGGCTTTAGTGATTAAAGCCACTGATAAAACCAGCTCTGTTTTTTAGAAAATACTCCTAACTAGTGAATCTTACAGTTAGCCTGTTTTATTTAAGGTTTCTTCTAGTAAGGAATTGAGTTCTTGACTTTTCTCTCTAGGAATGAAGGGAATAGGGAAGGGAATTGGATCTATAATAGATTGATATCAACCAAACTTAAATCAAGTTGGATTCAAAATAACTAGAAATTAGTACGTGATATTTTTTTTTTGCTTCTGACAGCTTAGACATTTGCATGGTATAAATAACTAGAATTTAATTCAATGTCATTCCACCTCCCAGAGATATCATTTTTAAGACTTGCTTCCCGAGTTACATTGGAGAAACCTCTTGCATGAAAGTTGGCAGCCCTGAAACGGTACAGCTGAAAATCTATAAATAATGTAACAATGACATTTCATCATCATTGTGCCTCAACTCTCAGTTACCACTAAATAATTCTGCAACAGAACAGAGCTGCGTGACGCCAGATGAAAATACACCTTCCTTTTTTTTCCCCCTCCCAGGGAAAACTTCCAACTCTACTTCACATCCATAAAAGCAAACATCATTTGTATATCAAAGGCGCAACTAAAGAGAAAGGACTCAGCTAAACAGTGTGAGACACAGCAAGAAAGAGGAGACGGGAGATAATACGATCAAGATTACATGTGATGGATAGGTGTTGCAACAGATATGGAGGAGGCAAAAGGAGAGAGATAGATTACCTGGCGCGCATGATGTGGCATGCATTCGAAAGCTGCAATGCGTTTCTCAACAGAGGGAGACAGAGCTGGGCTATGTATCGACTCAGGCTGGAAGAGCCGAGTAGAGGAGGAGAGATACAGATATGAGGCAACTCATAATATAGTAAAATAGTAAATAATATTCAAAATGCTTGTATTGATTTTAGGTTTTGATAAAAATTAGCCCCAGAACTCCTTGCGATCCTTTCATAAATCAGAATGTCCACATAATATTTCATATTCAAACTAATCTACATATGACGTTTCCAATGTTCAACCAAATAAAAAAGATTCAAGTCCTAAAAGGTGACTAGATTTGCAAACTAACAGCACCCGGACAGGAGAAACATTTTCCACTAAATGAGACAAATTTTTTTTAGTAAAGGTGCCAGAATAAAACTGTGACTTTAAGAATATTTTTTTATTTTTTATCTAAATTACAGTGGAACCATTCACAAAACAGGCTTAGACTTTTGCTCAGTTTTTCAGAAGACATTTTGGCACCAATCCCACCATAGCAACCATTACACTCCATTTACATCCCAATTGGATTTTTGTTAGGGGCACGAAAATAAAAAGCATCTTCTGTTCTACCAGCATATAGGTAAATATGAATTTAATTGCCAGGCAACAGAAAGTTTTTTTTTGTTATTTTTAGCAACAAAATCTTTAGGGGAGTTTGGTGTAAAAAAACAATAATGTCTTGCTGAGGACTTATGCTCTGGGTCGATTTGAAAGTTTTTATTAGAGATGTCCGGATCCAACACTAATATCTGATTTAAGCCAAAAAATAATATCCAATTCATCAGCCGGCATCAAAAATCTCTAATAAAAGCACTCTGCTCCTGTTTAAAGTTTTAGTAAGTCACTGGTTATTATTATATGCACCTATGGTTCCCGTATCTTTTTTGGTTGACTATTGTTCTGTTTTAGTAATAATATGACTTGATGGAGCCTGTTCTAACATTTGACACTGCAAAATAAGTAATAAAAGCCTTTATTGCAACATTTCGATTCAATATCGGCTGATTCTAAAAGCTGCAATATCGAAATTTTATTGGAAATGCAAAAAATGTGTTGAGAAGTCCCTTATCACTGGCATTTTTAGAATTATAGTCCTATATTAACTTAGAAAAAAAATGACTAAATCTACATAGAAATGAATAATTAGACAGAAAATGAGCCTCCTGCCCTGGTCACCTTAGATCTTAAAACTCTATGTTTTCTGTTTTCTTGTTCAGTAACTGCACTCAGATTTAGAGTTTAATTTTAATTTCTTTATTTTCGGAATGAGATAATGCTGATGCATTAAAAGTATTACTTAAAGGAATAGTACACCCAAAACATGATTAGCCTTCATTTTCTACTCACCCCCATGCTGAACAACACCCTGGAGTACTTTTTTGATATCTCAAATGCATCTGGAGATCTGGGAGGCTTCTTGCTGTCTGCTGACATTCAAATAATGGAGGTCTATGGCGCCCGAGACAGAAAGGTCCATAAAAGTCCACAAAAAACGTGTCAATATTCCTCCATACTGCTCGTCCAATGTATTCCAAGTTTCCTGAGTGGGTAGCATCCAGAATTTACTCGAAACGAAGTCATTTAGAATGTTTTTAGAGCATAAACAGTAGTGTATAGGATTTCCTGAAAGCGCGCACATGCGCGATCCTGACGCTACGGAAGCCGGCAGACCAAACCAGCGCATTCAGCTCGGCAAAGAACTCATGCTCTTCCTCAACACTGAAGTCCTCAGACATTTTTCTTTCGTTGTTTCTTTCTTTGCACAGGTAAACGGCACATTTCTTCTTCTATGCTTGCATTATTGGAAGAGCAGACGCTGAATGCGCACTTTCATCTGGTTTGGTCTGCCGGCTTCCGTAGCCTCGTGATCGCGCATGTGCGCGCTTTCAGGAAATCCTATACACTACTGTTTATGCTCTGAAAACATTCTAAATGACTTTGTTTCGAGTAAATTCTGGATGCTACCCACTCAGGACACTTGGAATACATTGGACGAGCAGTATGGAGGAATATTGACACGTTTTTTGTGGACTTTTATGGACCTTTCTGTCTCGGTCACCATAGACCTCCATTATTTGAATGTCAGCAGACAGCAAGAAGCCTCCCAGATCTCCAGATGCATTTGAGATATCAAAAAAGTACTCCAGAGTGTTGTTCAGCATGGGGGTGAGTAGAAAATGAAGGCTAATCATGTTTTGGGTGTACTATTCCTTTAATTGAAGGCTGTGAACACATCTGTCACAGGGATGCTAATAAAGCACAGAGGGTTGTACCACCTTAAACGTAGCTTCTCTGTGCGTCCAATTATGAGTCACAACATGCCTAATGAGAAAATAAAGTCATAGGAAAAGCAGGAGGGAATATGTGAAAATGAAGAGGTATCTGACTGAGAGAGATACGACACTGAAGCCAGGCCAGCGGCGTCCCCAGCACGGAGCTACTTAGTCATGATTTAAAGGCTTGAGGGCACTTTCAAACAACAAACGATGTTGTTGATGTGGTGATTTTTCAATGAGCGGTTCTTTAAAAAGGTTAAACATTAGTAAGATAGTTAATATTCCAAGCAGGTTTTGCTCTGCTTAGAAAAGAAATGTTTGAAAATTACTTCCAGCCTGCTAAGAAGCATTATGGTACAGTAGTGGCACATAAATTATGCTTTTTAAGCTTTGAAAATGCCCTAAATGGCCTGAAAAGACAGAATAAACTGTCCCATGAGATAAAGAAAAAGAAGCAACACAGGCAGCAGTGACCTTTATATTATGAAGAAGCTAAAAAGCAGTTAGTTTGGCCGTTTTACAGACTCACCCTGGGCCGGTGAATAATGCTCTGAACCAAGAAGGAGACAGGGTTTCCTGCCTTACGTATGGCTTCCACCGCTTCCTCATGACTTGCATCTCGTAAATCTACCCCATCCACCTGAAGCCAAATAACCATGAACACACAAATAGCAGTACATATTCCGCCTGTGAACGGAGGTGCTTCTGTACCTCCACAAGCCTGTCCCCAGTCTTGAGCGTCCCATTCTGTCCGGCAGGACTGTCCTCCAGGATATGCTTAATGAAAATGCCCCTCATCACCTCTCCGTTGCTCAGGCGGCTGCCCATCCCTCTACCTCCGACGATGCTGATCCCCAGGGACTTGCCCGGCTGTCTTAAAAGCTCCACTCTGAGGAAATAGCAAAGACGAGCTGAATTTTAACTTTCCATAATTGGGATTTAAATGGGGTGATTTAGATGAGATGTGTTTAGACAATTGCTGTATATTTGAAATGTATACTCACTTCCTCGGCTGATTCCAGTTACTGTAAGAGGCACTTTCCTCTCCTTCTCCATCTTCACGCTCGGGGAGGTTGGGAACACGTCTAAAATGTCATAAGGAAGGAAGAATAGCGTATAAGCATTGCAAAAACGATCTAGAAAGAAGTACAAAAATTCTTAAATTAAGGGAATTTACTCTTAATTTGAGCAGGTAAATAAGATCGTTTGCCAATGGAATTAGTATTTTTATTCTTAGAATAAGATAATTAGATAATATGTACTTGAAATAAGACAATGCAGTTATTTTTTTTCTTATTTTAAATGTAAATTTTCTTGTTCCATTGGCAAAGTGTCTCACTTACCCCCTCAATTCAAGAAAAAATGTACTTATTTTAAGAAAAAAATTACTTATTTAGATTTACATTTTTTGCAGTGTAGTTAAAGAAATTAAACTACAGTTTAGTGCAGATACATGAAACAAACTTTATCTGCAAATCTAGATGAAAAGTAATTGAATTCAGTTCATATATTTATCTAATTCCCAACAAATGTTGTCTCAAGGCATTTTAAAAAAAAAAAACAATTCAAATACCAAATTATTAAAGTTACTCAAGTAGAGAAAGACATTCCTAAAAAACTTCCTAAACAAATAAAGAAATCCCAGACATGAATGTTTCTTTCTTTATAAAACACTACCACTTGCACTACCTTTTTGAAACCATGCCGAGGTCAGTCCGAGCGCGGGAAAATGGTAAATGGGTAAACGGTAAATGGCATGCAAAACTGAACCGCAATAAACTGGTACTAGTTCATCAGTAGGCCTTGGCGTGGTTCAGTTCTGGTCCGGTTCTCAGATAACAAAGAAGGCATGAGCAGACAGCGTCATCTCCTATTTACAATCAGCTTCCAGTAGTTGGCGGTAATGCACATCAGTAAGCTGTTTGTCAACCGCCACAAAACAGAAGAACAATCGAAATCTTCTCATCACTAATTTTGTAAAATGACTTTAAAAGAGCGAGGTGCGACCTGGGATGATGCCGAGACTGAGGCTGTTATTGAAATGTTGGACGGAACAAAATATAATCACATAAGTTTTCCTACTCGAGAGCAGCAGTGCCATCGATAGTCACTAGGAGGCGAGGAACCGTCTTAGCGTGATGTGTAAACAGTCGTAAGAAACCAAGCTCAGCACAGTTAACTGATCAAAGCTCGGTCTGCACTTGGCATGGATCTGTTTTCAGAGGGGTAGTGTAAATGGGGCTTAAGGATGTCTAAAGGTACTGTAGGTGGTTCAATCAATTTCCTATGTAAAACCTGAACATGTTCCACGATTTTATTGACTTATTTCAAAAACAGCCTGAAACATGACAGAATACAAGAAGTTTCAGACTAAAAACTTGATTAATTAAGTCTTACAAGCTTATATAGCGACCCTATTCATTGATTTCATTAAGTATTTGCTGGTAGGATAATAAATTATTTATTGTTTCCTTTCAAATTTAAACCACCAAAACCAAGAATTTAAACTCATTTTGCTCTGGAATGTTTTTTTATATGAGTAATAATATCAATCAAAGGGTTTGGGACACAAGATCATTTAATTACAACATTTAACTTCATTGCATATTTGATTTATTGCAGTCCTTAGAAATTACCTGGTATTGAGTAGAAATTGATGTTACAAAATAATCCTCATCTTAAAAAATACCAATAATTTGAAAGTTTATCATAGTTGAAGCTTAAATCATCCCAACTCCATTTTTTAAAAAACTGACAGCTGTCTGGAATCAACTAAATTAACTTTATAATAAAAACTACTAATAAATGAGTTGTAGTTCAGTTCAATTCAATTAAAAAAGAATTTATTAATCCCAAAAGGAAATTGAAGAAGTTCTACCATGCTAAAGATAGCTTTTATCCTTTCATAAATTAAATCTAAATTAAACAGCGTCTTGTATTTTCACGGGTTATCTCAGTGTTATGCTGAAATCTATTTGCTGAGCTGAATAATATAAATGTGACAAAAAAGCAAAAAACAGAAGAAATTTATAATGGATTACACTTTTTTATAGCTTTGTATAAATCATCTAAAGGTCAGCCATTGGTTATAGACCCATGTACAGGTGCTGGTCATAAAATTAGAATATCATGAAAAAGTAGATTGATTTCAGTAATTCCATTTAAAAAGTGAAACTTGTATATTATATTCATACATTACATACAAACTCATATATTTCACATGTTTATTTTGTTTAATTTTGATGATTACAAATGACAACAAATGAAAATCTCAAATTCATCATATCAGAAAATTAGAATATTGTGAAAAGGTTCAAAATTGATGGCCCCTGGTGCCACACTCTAATCAGCTAATTAACTCAAACCACCTGCAAAAGCCTTTAAATGGTCTTTCAGTCTAGTTCTATAGGCTACACAATCATGGGGAAGACTGCTGACTTGACAGTTGTCCAAAAGACGACCATCGACACCTTGCACAAGGAGGGCAAGACACAAAAGGTCATTGCTAAAGAGGCTGGCTGTTCACAGAGCTCAGTGTCCAAGCACATTAATAGAGAGGCGAAGGGAAGGAAAAGATGTGGTCGAAAAAAGTGTACAAGCAAGAGAGATAACCGCACCCTGGAGAGGATTGTGAAACAAAACCCATTCAAAAATGTGGGGGAGATTCACAAAGAGTGGACTGCAGCTGGAGTGAGTGCTTCAAGAACCACCACACACAGACGTATGAAAGACATGGGTTTCTGCTGTCGCATTCCTTGTGTCAAGCCACTCTTGAACCACAGCCAGCGTCAGAAGCGTCTTGCCTGGGCTAAAGAGAAACAGGACTGGACTGCTGGTGAGTGGTCCAAAGTCATGTTCTCTGATGAAAGTAAATTTTGCATTTCCTTTGGAAATCAAGGTCCCAGAGTCTGGAGGAAAAGAAGAGAGGCACTTCATCCACGTTGCTTGAAGTCCAGTGTAAAGTTTCCACAGTCAGTGATGGTTTGGGGTGCCATGTCATCTGCTGGTGTTGGTCCATTGTGTTTTCTGAGGTCCAGGGTCAACGCAGCCACATACCAGGAAGTTTTAGAGCACTTCATGCTTCCTGCAGCTGACCAACTTTTTGGAGATGCAGATTTCATTTTCCAACAGGACTTGGCACCTGCACACAGTGCCAAAGCTACCAGTACCTGGTTGAAGGACCATGGTATCCCTGTTCTTAATTGGCCAGCAAACTCTCCTGACCTTAACCCCATAGAAAATCTATGGGGTATTGTGAAGAAGAAGATGCAATACACCAGACCCAACAATTCAGAAGAGCTAAAAGCCACTATTAGAGCAACCTGGGCTATCATAACACCTGAGCAGTGCCACAGACTGATCGACTCCATGCCACGCCGCATTGCTGCAGTAATACAGGCCAAAGGAGGCCCAACTAAATACTGAGTGCTGTACATGCTCATACTTTTCATGTTCATACTTTTCAGTTGGCCAACATTTCTATAAATCCTTTGTTTTTATTGGTCTTCAGTAATATTCTAATTTTCTGGTATGATGAATTTGAGATTTTCATTTGTTGTCATTTGTAATCATCAAAATTAAACAAAATAAACATCTGAAATATATGAGTTTGTATGTAATGTATGAATATAATATACAAGTTTCACTTTTTAAATGGAATTACTGAAATCAATCTACTTTTTCATGATATTCTAATTTTATGACCAGCACCTGTATGGTATGAGGACTTACTTTGAAGCTGTCTCAGAGAAGACGTCATCGGTAACATGCTCAAGGCTGGCCTTGTACTCTTCAAGGTACTCAGCAGGGACGTATGTAACACTAAACCAAAACGCACACATACAGACACATTAAGATGTGTTTGTTTTGTTTTTTTAATCAAAAAACCTAGACATTCAACCCTTTATTAGAAATCTTGACCCTATTCCCCACTAATATGTGCAGCATTTACTAAAATAGAGAACAGCAGTTACAGCTGTTCTCTTTTCCATTCGATTCCAGTGTTTCGGAACCAAACCCAGTTCCCTTCCAGTTAGCATTCCTTAAAAACAAGCTCAAGGTGAGACATCCATGAATCTTATATGCGGGACTTTGACACCTAAATGCTGAAAACAGCTGTTTACCTTCATAAATGTCTGAGCAAATCAAGCTTTCAGTCACCTATTGTGTGACTAACGTGACAAATCTGAAGGATTCTTTTCATCTATTATTAATCGAAAGAGAGCAGACGGCTCCTACGTAAGAGTGGAGCTGAGAGATTGGTGACAAACTGCCATCTACGAGTAAATCCATCTGAAAACAATTCAGAGAGAAGCTGATTCTCAAGGGCACATTAACACATCTGAGTGAGGCTGACAGATCTTCAGCAGATGGGTGATATATTTTTTTTTCTTTTTTTTCAACCTGATGGCATGCAGACAAAGAAAATTAATCCTCCAAAAATGATGGAACAGAAAAGCAGCTTCATTAAAATCATCAAAACATGCAGAAAGCGAAATGTCACACACACAAAAAGTGAATTTTAAAAAGGTGTTAATGGTTTTAGTAAGAAAAGAAGGAGATATCAAGTTTAGTAGGATGAATAAATGACAAAGCCTGTCGAGATTTATTCAGGTGGGTGTTTCGAGATTTAATCATCCTTTTTTAGTAGCCTTATAATGTTCTTTTTATACTCTGAAGCTGAAAACAAGCTGCCACTTAAGTGACCCAACCCTTCTGGATAAACCTCTTATTAACCAAGAAGTAAAAGGATAAAAAGAAAAACTTGTCAGCGTCTTTCTGAGAATCCATGGACGTGGAAGTTAGTCATACTCACACATAAAACGGGCACAGATCGTCCTCAGGTGCACAAACAGATCTAGAATGTGAAAAGTTGGCTTTTTATGCACTGAAGCTTACAAACTGCCGATTTTAGTTCAGCAAGCAGAATTTACGAAAACGTCAGAATTACACATCTAAATCATTGGCAGTTCCTCCAAAGAATTAAAAGAGTTTGTGGGGATATTGTTTCTTCAGTTCGGGAGCACAGGTTTAGAAGACGTTTTTGTTTTCAGTGTGAGAATATTAAAATAAAAAGAGTGCAAATCAATTTTTAAAAGTAACTGCCGGTATTTAAGTAAAAATGAGGGGAACCTTAATGAATGTAAGCATTTACACATTTCATACAAGTCCGAAAAAAAACCACAAATCTACCAGAAGGAAGAATGTAAAATACTTTTTTTTAACCAGCTTTTGATTCAAAAAACCATAATTCTGTCTTTTAAAGAAAATTATCCTGACATGTATCTACAATAACCCCAAAAGAACTTATTATGAGCTATAGGACTGTGGGGACCATTTGCTTTATGCTTTGACTGACTGTGATACAGAAAAAAACTCAAATACGTCCTCATCTTTTTTTTTATATATATATACTCTAATAATCCCAGAGGGAAATTACTTCTCTGCATTTAACACATCCCCTTGGGGAGCAGTGGGCAGCCATTGTGCGGTGCCCGGGGAGCAGTGTGGGGTTAAGGGTCTTGCTCAGGGAGCCAGAGTGGGGAATTGAACTCACAACCTCAAAGCCCTATGCCCTAACCACTAGACTGCCACTCCCAACTCTTCAGATTTTTTGTTCCAGCTAAACAGAACCATTATTCTTTTCTCCTAATGGGGCTGTCACACCTTGACGGTTAGGCCAGCGTATGTTGACATATGAAAAATTTGGGGAAAACGCTGATGTACGTTGGATAAAATATGGGTACGTTTTGTATAAGCTATGAGCCCTCTGAAGCACGCTGAAGCACATCGCCATATGGTTAGTACGTCAAGAAATGTTGAGCATGCTCAAAATTGCCAGCGTATGCGTAAGCTTGTGACAATTCATGGGTGTGTTATGCATAAGTTAGGCTGTCGTTGGACATAAGTTCTGGACTTTGGGCATATACTTTCGGCATATAATCTATATCTATATATATATATATATCTATATATCTATAGATATATATATATATGCCTAAAGTTAAAAAAATACATAGAATATTCAGCTAATGCCAGCGTTTTAGAAGATTCTGGGACGTCGGCATACGCTGGCTAAATCGTCACGGTGTGGCAGCACTATAAGCAACCCCCCAAAAAAGATGTCAAACTAAAGATGGGAAATCCCACTGAATGTTGCTACCACATTAAGGTAGGATGTCTTTCTAAAATAAAGACCAACACCTATTGCTTCATTACATCACAACACATTCTCCTAACAAGTTGTTGTAGATTCTGTGCTGTTTTCCTTCTGATTATTTTTGCATGAGACATTTTGAACCTTATTACTCACTTGGCAGACCACTGCAATAGCTAAAATGCAAATGTGCATCCCAAAGCAGCTAAACACTATTACAGTTCAACACCATTTCTTTATAATTCATATCAAAATGTTATTTTAATGAAACTTTTTTTTATCTTTTTTACTTTTTCCTTATTTTCAAATCTCCCTTAAAAACCAGATTTTTTTATCTTAATGGTAAATGTTTAATATTAGTAAAAAATATAATTTAAAAATATCGGCTTAAACAAAAAACACCAACATACTGATTTTTTAGTTAGTAATTTGTAGTCATCTTTATATTTCTGATAAGTTTCTGATAAGTTTCATTACTACACATAGAGACACATACAGTGGGCCCAGTTTATATGAACCCCAGCTCTTACCCAAGGTCTGGGCCAATGAGCGAGTGCCTCCTGAGCATGGCACGAGCTTGGACGTTGGTCATGTTGGTGGTGGGCTCTCCATTTATGGCCAGAATCAGATCACCCACTCCTAGACGACCATCGCGGCTAATGGACCCCCCGTGGATGATGCTGCGAATCACCATCCCCAGACCGTCTTTTATAGCGCTGACTGTCATCCCTTAAGAGCAGACAGTAAAACATGGCTCCACTATTCACATTAGACACACAGAGGGGTTTCTATATCTTTCTGTCACAAGAAAACATTTCAGAAACTACTATATTGTAGACGTTTATGTAGAGTACACATATTGTGTTTAATATTGATTCTGATATAAATAAAACATGAAAAAGCAATCACTTTCAGCAAATAAATTCCAATTAGCCATCCTAAAGATAACTAAAAAGTCTAATAAAGAGAAATAGAAGAGTGTTTAACATGATGACTTCCAATTTCAGATAATCTTTTCCAGTAACCTAAGAGACATGTTTTTTGTTTTGTATTTAAAGTTGAAAACTCCCAGAAGGGTTATATTTTTTTTTAAAGCTGAAGACAAAACTAAAGCCACCTCCCTCCTTCTTTCCGGGCTGAATCTTCATGACCCCCCTGCAGTGTATGTAAGGAAAATAAATGAATGAGAAAAAAAAATAAAAATAATAATAAGAATATGCACCAAGGCTGCAGTTGCCCTTGACAACTGTGATGGTCCTTTCAAAGTTGCTCCTGGAGGTCAGCGCGGCTTTGTTGTCATCTTCAGCAGATTCTTTCACACCAGCTATCTCCTCCTCCTAAAATGTGATAAATTGTTCACATATTTGTCCATGATGACCAATTATAAAATACTAAAGCAAATTCCAAACAGAGCTGTCATTCTGAGAGAGATAAAGCAATTTAGCTGTCAAAATGAGGTTTGAGCAATTTCTCTTCCTTTTGAGAATTTAAAATATGAACTCAGGCTTTAATTAAGAGAAGTTTGTTGGTACTAGAAATGGGTTTCACGGTATAGAAAAGTCACAAGTCACAAGTTACAAAACCACTAAAGATTTCTGTTATATCCTTTCAAATGTTTAAGCTTTTTTATGTAAAGTGAGAGTTTCACTCTCTTGCAGAGTGAGAACCTGCAAAGGAGGAAAATTTTGGCATGACACCTGTGATCTAAAAACAGCACATCTGACAATCAAAATGAACTACTGTAGAGATTATACTGAAGATTTAGGCTGGCCAGGCTAAACACTCTCTGGCTAAAACAGACCGGACCAATCACAGCGCTGGAGGTGGGCCCATACTGCCGCAGCATTTTTCTGTAATTATAACAGTTAAGGCTGCAGCTGCAACAAAGCGATGTTTTAATGATGCCCTTTATTATGTCCCCAATGAGCTGTTTACATCGTTAATACTTTAACAACTGCATGCTGTGTCACATCCGTAGTTATCTGATTGGTGTTAACCACTTTTCGCTTTCTCTGTTGACTCTGTAAGACCCGTGCATGAAATGTGGCTCTATCCTGCTCTTATCTGGACTAATATGTTCTGTATATGGCTTAAAATAGTCTGTTTGGTCAGGCTACTTGAGATCAGCTGACAAAACGCAGAATTTCTTTTTTTTCTCAAATAATTATTGATTACACAATCTAGCACTGTAATCATAATAATTATATTTTTGTTTAATGCTATCATGCCTTCAGGGTTTCATACCTGCCCATCCCTAGTTCGAAAAAAGAGTTATTTAACCTTTAATTCTGTTTTATTAATTAATCTCAAACATTACATATTATTTCATGTTGATATGGCATGATCCATGAAACCAAAGTCAAATTCCTGGTTTTTGAACATCAAACTCTGCCAATTTAGCGGATTGTTTTTAAACATTAAAAGTGATCAAACACGTTCTACAATTTAGTTTGTTGAAGCCCACTATCTGAATGTTAAAGAATCCAAAGTTACAGTACCTTTATGTCTCTAAAAGACGCGGCTGGTTCAGTCATACAGAGAGGCTGCTCTACAGGTGCCTCCTCCTCCGTGGCTTTGGCTTCTATTTCTGCATACAGGCTGTAGGAGTCTGAGCACTCGGTTGCTTCTTGTTCTTCACCCGGTTGCTTTGCCAGGTATTGATCGGAGCTGCTTAGAATGGCATTAATCGAGGGGATGGGGCCTGTCAAAGTCGCAGTGGTGTAAGAGGCCAAACTCTCTATGGAAAGCGCTGGAGTGTCGTCTCCAAAGCTGGGGTGCTCTTCCAACACATTCAGACGAGCTGTCAGCTACAGTAAAACAAAGCATGGCAGATAAATGAACATCCACTCAGGGAGGATTTATAGCACTAAAGCTCCAGCTTGCTCTGTTTTAATGAGCCACAGAAAAGCATTCAATGGCTTAAGGAAAAAGGTTGATCTAAAGGTTGAACTGTACATAATTTATATATACTTATATGAAAGCAGTTCAGCTTTATTTACAAAAAAAATGCTAAATGCATTTAAGAAAAAAACGCTCAAAGGAGTAAAAAACCTTTACGGTAAAGAGGTATCTTTTTCAATATTTTTTACAAATAAAAATCTAGTAATAAAGTGTAGTTTGTATTATTCTGACGGTAAAAGACCTCAGAGGTTTTTAAAGAACATTACTGACCAAAGAGCATCATGAAGATTAAGGAGCATGGCAGATAAGGAGAAGTTTAAAGCAGAGTTAGACTGTAAAACCAAATTAAAATGTATCATTGATCATTTTACAACAAGAATTTCAATATTTAAATGGCACAGCTTAAACTGACCATGACATGGCAGTTCCCCTAAATTAGCAAGGAGAGAAAATAGCCAAAAGGCTGCTGGTTGCTCTATAGGAGATGCTCCAGAAGCTCCTAAAAAGGACAAACGTGCAAAAAAAAAAACATAGCTTCATAGTAAAGCTGAGAGAAAAAAACTGTCTTTGAAGGAAAGCAATAATAATTGTTGTTAAAGGTTTGTCAAAATCCATGTAAGTGACACAATGAAATGAAGGGCTCTGATAAGGTGAGACCAAAATTGAAACTTTTGTTCTAAATACAAACTGCTCTTTGAAGAATAATCAACACTTTACATGCTCCAAACTAGGGCTGCAACTAACAAATCAATTTGCAATTGATTAATCTGTCAATTATTTTTTTCAATGAATTAAGTTTTCTTAAAGATTTTTTTACAAAAGGAAACCATGTGAAACTTTTCCACTTGAGGAGTTCTGGATAGAGCATTTTGACACACAAATAAAGTTTCTGTTTTATCTTAATGCAAAAATATTAATCTTTTTTTTTCTACAATTTTGATATATTTACTGCTCTAAGTGGGTTTCTCTGTCAGCTAAAGGCATATTTTACTGTCTCTATACTCCAGTTAATGATTAATCATTTATTAAGACACTTGGCGATTATATCACTAATCGCTTAATCACAATTAAACCGATTAATTGTTGCAGCCCCACTCTAAAAACATAAAACATGGTAGCAGCAGCATCATGCATTTCTTTACAAGGTACATGATAGCTGCATTAAAGTGGTGGTACGATAGCTGGAGCTAAATATACAGTAGGTCAACCCTGGAGGTAAACCTGCCATACGGTACAAAACAATGTAAGACTCGGTGGTGAAATCATTCCTAAACATGTAAAAAGTTTATTTAAGTAGTTGAATCACACTTCAGACGCCAAAAATCTGTCTCAGGCAACATTTGATTTGACCGCTCATAAACCCTAAACCTCAAATTGAACTACATTTGAAATTTGTTGCATAAAGAGTGGGCAAATGGAAGGTCAAATTCCTCCCGACTTTGATTGTGGGAACTACTGTCAGATTCAAAATCAAATTTATGTGCAAACATTTATTCCATATGTATTAAGGAAACCAATTTAGCCATTCAAAATTGCTGAGATGTTTACAACTATAAATGTTTATATATTAGAAATCGTGACCTTTGATAGTTGTCAGAAGTCTTCAAAACTGACTTCTGTCCTTGGCTGTAAAATTCGTCAGCAGACTTACTGTCTTTAAAGATAAACAGACAAGAAGGCTGAACTCTCTGACCCAAAAGAAACAGTTTAATCTGTTTTTAGATGTGAAGAAAAATATTTGTTCCTTCTTGAGACAACAAAATAATTAGCAGCTACTACTAAATAACAGATTACATTAACAGTTTCTACATTAGTCAGTTAATAACATGCTGCTGTCATTTTGCACACTATTGATGTCGCTGCTATTTTCAAATGTCCATTACTGTAAAAATGTCATTAGCTGTATAATGATTATTTATTCTCCAGGTGCATAGTTTTATATTGTTAAAACACTTTACAGTACAATATTTTACTGTTTATCTTTTAACTCTTCTCTATTATATTATGGTTCTACATTTTTCTAAGGTCCACATTTGTGTAACCATTATAATCTATATATTATATGTTATATATATAACCTTTTTACTGCTTTAAACACCAGAAATTCCCCATTGTGGGAAAATAAAGGGATTTTCTATTCTATTTTCATTTATTTCTATTGCTAGATTGAAGAATGAGATCAAATTGCAGTGCATATACATGCAATTTTATCCTATTTAATGTGAAAATGTTTGAAGCTTGCATTTTGTTTCTCTATAGTCAGGGAAGCTGTTCCTTCACTAGTTGGGAGTCAGGAGCATAGGGGACCTGTTTAGGAGCCATCTATGAAGAAATGGAGGATACTGGAAGAAGACAAGCAACAGCATTTGGCCCAAGAGGAAAGCATTTGCACCTGCCACCTAGTGTAGTGCTTCTTCTCAGCCTCTTTTAAAAATATTTGAACCCCTGTGGAATATTCTTTTAGCTGAGTGCTTCCAAAACCAGGGGGGATAATCTACATTTTAGTTTATATTCCACACTAATGTAAAAATATAATTTCTACAATTTTCCTTTATTTTAATTGTCGTTATTTCCACTTGAGAAAATTAAAAGACAATTGTATCTTGTTTAAAACAACAAAATAAAGTCAGAACCATCTTCTTAGCTCTTTGTTTTTATCTTAGCAATTAATTATATAGTCATAGTTATGTGACATTGTTTCTTGCAAAGGAGAGATTTTCCTGCAACAAGCAGAATGGTTGTCAAGACACAGCAAGAAGTTCCCATTTTCAGCATTGAAGGTTGAAACCTATCCCTAACTGGACAATCAGTCATCACATTATGCTCACCTCAGAAACAGCCATAGCTGTCTTTCTTTCACTCCCTACAGAACTTTAGATTTGTGTAGATCTAGCTCAACATACCAGATTGTTGTTGATAACCTTCCTTACTGCATGGAGAATTATGGAGCGTTACACAATTGAATGTTGCTCAAATAATTTATTTATGAACTTTGAGAAAGATGATCAAATCATTACTGTTCAACTGTATTAGCCCACTCATTGAGGATAGCTCTTTTTACCAGCCACAGCTGAGAATGTCTACTGGTAATAGTCTTATGGACAGTCTTTAGACCACATGTTAAAAGGCATGTCTTTCTCTTATCCCCTTCAAATAAGAACACAGGTAGGAGCTTTGAGAGAATTTAAATTAAAAAAGCTGAAGATTCTGCGTAACATAGGGACCCCTATTTCATCATTCTGCTTCATTCTCTCTCTATTCTCCCTCTGCAGAATCTGTTAGATCAATTTCTAATGTTCTGCTCTCTCTGCTTTTTCTCATAGTAGCTTTGCCTCATCTGTTCCTGTTTGGCTGTGACGCCATCCTGGAGAGAAATATCAGCTGTGCTGCTGCCATCAACACCTTTGTTTATAGATTCTGGAGATTGGCCTGTTTTTCAGTGTAGTCCTGTTTTTCTGACCGTGACTGGCTGGATGTGCTCTCAACATCCTCTGACATGGGAGTTGGCTCAGAGCTCGTATGCCTGGCTGTGTGTTTCTTGGACGGGGCCGCCTTTTATAGTTGTTTTTTTGTATCTCTGCTTCTGTCTCCTTGAACCCCAGTTGATGGCTGCTCACACTGAGCCTGGTTCTGCTGGAGGTTTCTTCCTGTTAAGGGACTTTTTCCTCTCCACTGTCGCTACAAGCATTCTTAGTGTGAGGGGTTGCATTCGAATCAATCAGTCAAAGCAATTAACTGGTTTTCCTTAGATAGAAAACTTTCAATCAGTTTGACTGTATGATCAGGTGAACTGTAAAGTGCCTTAAGATGAAATGTGTTGTGAATTGGCGCTATATAATTTAACTGAATTGAATTGAACGAAAACTTGGAGGAAGGTGAAACACACAGAAAGAAGGATACTACGTGATTTGAGTCCATCTGTCACCTTTACTATGTCTGGCTGGTAGGTCTTTTAAACGTCTCTGTTTAACCTGTTACTAGTTAGTTAAATGAATTAAAGGGGTGGTATGTGGTTGAGGATATGATTACTTACAAGTTTGGGTTACCTATTGTCAGGTTTATTCAATGATGATTATAAAATGAATGTGTGCTTATGAAACATTTTTATAAGGGGATGCTCCACTCCTGTCTCATGATCCAGTCAGGAGACCATCCTGCCTTGTCATTATGATGGAGCATTCTGTCTTCATGAACTGATCAATTGTTCTGTCAGAACAATACTCTGTTTGTAACCATGCATCATGTTCTGTTAATAAACGCTCTGCAAAGGAGGTCCAGTGGGCGACAGTATGTTTGAGTCTGGGGTTCAACTGTCTCTCCTTCCTGCAGGAATTGTATCCAGAATTGTGAATTTCAGTTCTTCAATTGTGTATTTCAGTTCTTCTTAAGAAAAAACCTATTTATGAACCCGACACCTATAATACAGTGAGACATACACTATTTGATTAGTTTGGAGCATTGTTAGTGGTTAGCTTAGAAGATTTCTTTAACAGCCAGTTCATTTTTTCCTATATGAATGATTTTAAAATAGTCACTTACTTTTTTTGATCTGTCTTTGCTTGTCTCTGCAGTTACCTACATAACTACTCATTGTAAGCAGATCACACCTAAAGTCTCAAGCTTCAAGTTGTTTATGAGAGTGCAACAACTATTTTTAAGTCATTAAAAGCCTCCTAACTCTAATCTAAGGCTTTATGATCTTCTTTCTTTGCCACCTATCTAAGTAAAATGTGGAGTTGTTACATTTTAAAAGCCAAATGTTACAGTTGACATACAGTCTAATAAAAATGTATACTTCTTAGCCACGACATAAGCCATGCACAGTTTGGAGGTGTGTGCATTCCTTACTAGCTGGATTGCCAAATTCAGGAGGGAGAGCAATTTAAATATGCATAGCACCGTATTTATTGGAAATTAAATATTTAATATGTTGCTTTAACCACACCTTGCCTACTGGTATCAGACTCCTCCTGCTGCACCCAAAACAAAGATATGCTATACCATCATAGTAAACCATCAAATCTTCCCAGTAGACATTTTGCGTTTGCTTAAAACAGTTAAAAAACGTTCACTTAATTACACTTTCTTAAAGCATCACGAGCATCAGGGTCCTGATGAGGGTGAGGAAACACCAGCACATCACTCCCATCCTTTACACTTTACACTGGCTCCCTATTCACGCCCGTATAGAGTACAAGATTCTTCTGCACACCCATCACTGTGTGCACAGTGCGGCCCCCACCTATCTCACTGAACTGCTCACACCACACACCTCTTCCCGGACCCGGTCAGGCCAACAGCACCGTCTGGCCCCACCCAGGACACGGCTAAAAACAATGGGCGATAGGGCCTTCGAAGCCACAGCTCCCCGTCTGTGGAATGCCCTCCCAGACCACCTTAGGGCACCACAGACGGTGGATTGTTTTAAGAATGGACTAAAAACTTTCCTTTTTAGAAATGCCTACAATTGTTCATTTTAGATTTTTTAATAGGCTACGTATGCCTTTCAATGTATTGATTTTAATGATTGTCTTTTTACTCTGTTTTTAATGTTATGGTCTTTTAAACTTGTTTTAATTTTCCCTTTTTTTAAATGTAGCACTTTGAGATTTGAAGTCAAATGTAAAGTGTGTTATAAATAAAATTCATTATTTATTATTATTATTATTATCTTTGGAAGGAACCCTGTGTAGACCCTTCACATCCATTTTCACTAAATATTATTTAGATAGTGGTGTAAATGGAGCCACTGACACTATTGGATTCCTGTAATGTTAAGAAAGCACAGAGTTTGCCACAGAAGGAGAATTGCTAATGGCCATAGCTCCTGCAGGGATAGGGAAAAATAAAAATAAATATAAAACAGAAACAGAAAAAAAAACAGAAAGCACAGCCTGTTAGAACAATAAAGACTTTCATCCACTGTGGACACTGAAGACACAGCTGCAACCCTTTTTCTTTTGTTAATCCATGTTTTGAGATATGAAAAATGTTTTATTCTACCTTGGGTGTGGATGACTGCAGGCAATCCAAGTCAGCACTGCAGCTGCTGCCGTGAAGAGCGATCATTGATGCTTGGAAAGTATCATCCTCCAACCCAGAATAGGAATGTTCTAACACCTTATCATCAGATAGGTCTCCTTCACTGGTGTCAATCTAGGATAATAGATTGAGAAGTGAAACTCCAAAATAATGTTTTTTTTTATTAAGTATAATTATGCAACTACAAAAGGCTACTTAATGAATATGTAACAGGCAAATTATCCAAAATCACATCGTTAAAGTTTTTGACACCTAACCAACAGTATAACCTATGATTTCAATTAAACAGGCCACTCTCTTTAATAATTAGACAAAATCATCACAGTGAAGAATAAACTGCTTCCTTTAACAAGTGTTCTAAATCTGTTTTTTTTTTTTTCACCCAAAATCTAACTAACCAATGCAGGTTCTGCTCGGTAAAGGATGCCCTCAGTCAGTCCTCCTTCCTCTCCTTCTTCAATCAAAATATTGGTGAAGTCAAATGAATGGATGATGGATGATGAAGTTATTTCCTGCTCACCAAAAGGGTGTGAAGACTGGGAATATCCACATATTCCCTAGGACAGTGGAGAAATTATTTCAGTGTCTCCAGCTTTATACAAAATGAACTTTTTTTTTGTTTTTGTTTATCAAATTTAGTGATGAATGAATTAGTGTGGAATGAAGATGAAAGGAAGTGTTAGGAATGATTGAGAAGGTTAAGAACTGAGCTGTGAGTCAACTAAGAAAATCAAAGAGAAAAGCTCAGAAAGAATTCCCATCTTGGCTCATACAGTGATTTAAAAGGTCATTCATACACAGTTTGTCACTTCAAACATTATATATATATATATATATATATATATATATATATATATATATATATATATATATATATATATATATATATATATATATATATATACATACAATTATATTTGTGTTAATATATACACATATTACAGTTTTTACTTAGACTGAACATTAACAAATACAGATATAGAGTTGTAGCAAATATATAACAGAGGTATATCATGTTGTAGTTAAATTATAAAGTGCTCTTTTGACATTATACATACGATATAAATAGATTCCTTTTTAAAGATGCATCATAACTTCATGTAGACAGTATTTCTAATCATATTTTATCATTTTTGTTACTTTCATCAGGCTGAGTTAAAATTTCAGAAACAAAATGGCCATTTTTGAGACATAAACAACCCTTTATCCTTTATCTTATGGTGTTTTGTGTAACTCAAAGCAGTTTACTATACTGCAAAGCAATTATTGTGTGCTGATTTTTCACAATACTTGCAATATTGCTCTTAATTTTTCACCCCTTCAGCAACACAATGCTAACATCAACTGAATTATATATCTGCATAGTATTCAGACTACGAATACATGACATGTATGAATTAACAGCAGTTTTGGACGATGTTTATCATTTTAAAACTTATTGGTATCGTCCATTAAGTGAAACTAGGCCAGCGTTCAACCCTTTATAGGGCAAGTTACAGTTTTTGATCACTTGCAGATCCCTTACAAATGTAGTCCCGTCAGTGAGGTCTAGAAGCACAAGATCTATATCCAGTCATTCAGGAAAGATTCTGCTACATGGTTATACATCTTATTTTGGAATCTGAACAATTATTTGATCCCTTGAATGACATATTACGTACTGTAAATTATGTTGGGAAAAAGAAGTTAAATAGCCAAGAAAAAAGGTAAAAAGCTCATCGAAAAGTTAAAAAGTAAAGTTCAAAAATTAATAAGCCTGGTTAACAATTATATTTAGGTTTATACACTAAAGAAATGTAAGTGTCAGTATCAGGATTAATGCCTTCAAGGTTATGTTGATGCACTCATAATGAGCATCCAGAACCAGCTGGAAGATATGACTAAGGGAGATTCACTTCACATGCAGTGAGGACAAACATCTTCAGCCTTATTTGCACAGTTGTAAAGTCAATGGGGAAGCCACATTGTATACCTGGTGTTCTATAGAGGTGTTTTAGTAGTGCAGCAAAGGATTAAAAGGTAAGAATAATCTGCATAGGCGGAATTAGGATTGACAGTTCACTATTGGTTCCATAAAATATCAATAAAAAGAAACACTTCAGTTTGTGGTGGTAGTGTTAAAAAGTTCAAAGGCTCTAATGTTTCCAAGGCTCTGTATGTGAAAAGCATTAAGGCAAATATGGAAGATAACGCACATTAGATTTGAAGGCAATACCCCAAAACACCCCTTCAGAGTTACATTCCACATCCTGCAGGAGAGCTACCTGCAGTTCAGTAATCCTGCTAACCCTTGCAGCCCAGAAGTCTCACTGAGTAATCCAACAGCACATTTAATACAGGAAAAATGCATCTGTGCGGGGGAAAAAAAATTGCAAACAAAAATAGCTCTGGCGCCTGGAGCAACAAAAATGCGGCCTGATGGAGCTGCTGTAAGAACAGGTGCCTCAGTGTGTTTGAGTGTTCAGGAGGGTGGGTCATGAAAAAACGTACTAACATCAAATGAAACTCAGGGTGCCGGGTGTTTCGGACTGGTCACCCTTTGAAACAGCAGTGGGTGGAATCTTACACCACGCAGCCTACTGACACACCTTTTTTCCTGCATGAAAAATTCAAGCTTTCTGTAATATGAGCCCTCCTGCCTTGGTCAAACGTTGCGTGACATGAAAAGGCCAGACTCCTCAAGTCTCATAGCTGCAGAAATGCAATAAAATTCTTTGTCTAAATACTTCATGCAGGTTAGAGAGAAAAATTAGAAGCAAGAACAGTGATGATGCTGTTACTTACGGGCAGCGGTTTGGCGACTCCAATCTGCACCTTTCCGACCTTGGCCCCCTTAAGGGCCTGAACGGCATCCTCAAGGGTTGCATCTTCCAGATTTGTGTCGTTCACATACATGAGTCGATCTCCTGGCAGAAGTCTGCCATCCACCTCCGCCACACCATTTGGAACCAGAGAGCGGATCACTATCACTGTCTTGGAAGGGTCCAGCGGGTCCTGATGGCAAAAACAGTAACATCAATGGGTAACATCCCTTGCATTATACGTTAGAAGTGAAACATTTATTCTAAGTGAGCATAAAAAACATCTTCAGTCAGATGAAGCCCAACCTGGTAGTCCAGAATGCTGAATCCCAAACCACCTTCTCCCTTTTCCAGCTCGATTTTCTGAATCTGCATCTCCCACATGGCCAGAGGAGATCCAATCCCCTCCTCAGTCACCGTATCCTGCGGCTCCTCAATGTTTTTCGTCTCAGAAACGTCAGAGACCAATGCACTGCTGAGGTCTATGTTATTCTGCAGGGAGAGGAAAAGCCCCAAACCACAATGAGACACCACGCTGTCCTTCCTCTCCTCCCAGCCCACAGGCTCCTACTGTTTCTTTGTGTTTGTGGATCAGGTTTCTGGCAAGAGTTTTAAAGGGGGAAATATCTATGGGATGCTCAGGCCTTAGAACATTATCACAGATAAACCTACAAAGATGAAAGCTGTATTTGATGTCTCATATCACTGTGATGCTGGGAGCTGCTGATATATTGCTGCTGAAATTGTTTCTAATAAACCTTAACCCTCTCAGTGCTTTTCACTTAGTCTTTGTCCATCCTGGCTATTAATGAGAAAAGAAGTCACTAACATTTTGAAATGTTGGAATATGTTACATAGTAAGCTAATGCAACCATATAGTTTGTTAGTTGTTTTCTCTAAATGCAGACAAATGCTAAAAAGTACAAAAATATGAATTTACCTTCAGTTTATACTCTTTGGGAAAAGCCTCTGATTCTGGTTGGGCTGCATCCATGTCCACTTGGAGATCTGGAGCGGGTCTGCAGCATGTCATGTACACACAGACTGGAAGTTCCTTCAGGATTCTCACCACCTCTTTATGAGTCTCTCCAATAAGAGAAATCCCATTGACCTAAGAAAGAAGAGGTCAGTTAGAGCTTTATATCTAACCCCATGGAGACACTCAGGGCCCCAAGGTAGAACCCATACTTTTCTATTCAACACCTAAACAAGCCACATTAATACATAGTTTGATTACTTTAAGACAAACGGAATTATTACGCATTCTTTCAGTTACTGGAAAACATCATACTACTAAACAATCATCTTTAAGCTGTACTAATATGGAGTCCTGAAATTCCTGCATTGTGATGCATTTTCCTTATTTCAAAGTTCCAAAGTTTTCAGGACACCAATTTCTAAATGTATTTCCTGTAATTATAAGCGCATTCTCTATATTACAGTATAAAATAAAAACACTGAACATTTTTGATGTGTGTTTAGTGCAATATACTCTTAACATATTACTTTTTTTGACGTTGTTGAGCTGTGGTACCAAAAGAGGCTGTAAAATGCTTGGTTGCATATTCAAAATAACAGTAATAACAGTCTGCTTCTATATATGCAGTAATATTTAGTAAATAAGAATTGCATTCCAATTAGACCCACTCGTCAGACTTTTAGAATAATAACCCTTAAGTTGGTATTAAAAGTGAGTTGCTGATCACTGAATGTTATACAGTACATTTCTACTTTTTACTGTTTAACTTTAGGCAATGGGAGAATATCCCTGTTACCAATGGGACTTGGAGACTTCTAGTCCTCTAAACCTACCTCCTAGAAATGACCCTCTTAAGAGAGCCCAGACAAGTTTAATGCTGATTAAAAGGAACATAGAATTGTAGCATTTTTACAGTCTTCTGGGAGTTTATTCCAGATAAGTGAAGCATAGGAACTAAAAGCTGCTTCTCCATCTTTGGTTCTGCTTGTCCAGAGTCGGCTTCAACTAGAGAAGTAAAAAAGGTGGTTGATACACTGACAGTAAGTCTATTATATATTTTGTTGCTTAGCCATTTAATGATTTATAAACCCAGAAATCACTAAATTAGACAAATTATTAGTGGTATGATAAAATTTGTCCTCTCTGATGGTCAAAATCAACCGCAGCTTTTTGGTTATTTTTTTTTTGTGCCAGAACTGTTGCAGTGATCAATTCTGCTAAAAGCAAACACGTGGAAGATATTTGGAGATGCTGTTGAGACATTGGTCCTTTAAACTTGGATATGTTCTTCAGGTGATAGAAAGGCTTCTTTTTTTCCAAAGGCAGCCCAATGCCAATCTTGATTGCACAACCAGATTGGTAATCTATGTCGCACTCTCAAGAGCATTGAGGAGACTGTAGGAGAGAAGTGGTTACTCTAGGACTGTTAGAGAAGGGGCCATGGAAGCAGCAGGACTATCAGATGATCTTTGATGGAAGGAGGAACAGAATGAGAACCCTATAAAGGGACCCAAGCAGGACTTTGGAGTGAATGTTTCTGACCAAACCATTCCAAACAGACTTTATGAGGATGCTCTGAGGGCCAAAATGTCCTCTATCGGGCGCTGAGCTCACTGTCTGAAAACATGGAGCTCGGCTTACATTTGCCAGAGAAAACCAGAACAGTTCTGAGCCCTAGTTTTTTTTCATAGAGGAGAGCAGGTCCACTCTGAGCTCATGTGACAGATGTGAAAAGATCTGGAGAAGCTACAGGGTTTATACTAGCGTTGCACCAATAATGATCCCAGTATCGGGCGGAGCCCCGATACTGCACTTTTATTTGTCAGTACTAAAACCGACAAATAAAAGTACTGACAAATAGGGCAACCATACCATTTTGAGAGCCAAAAGTTTATTCAACTATTGTCATCCATTTCATGAAGGCAATAAAAAGTTCTACTGGATTCACTTTGTATTAGTCTTTTTCATGCTTCATAAAGGTAGGCAGCAGCTTGACAAAGCCATTATTTTACATCCACGTAGTATGCAGTTCTTCATATATACACACAGATGAGTTTCAAACAGATGGTAACGGAATGGTATCGGTGTCGGCCGATAATGCACAGCCAGGTATTAGGGCCAAAAAATGGCATCGGTGCAACACTAGTTTATACAATATAATAGTTGTGGTGAGTCAGTGTGAGTCTGGGGAGGCATATCCATGGAGGAAACCACAGTCCTGTACAGGAGTTTCCTTGGTCAGTATCTGTGCATGCTTCACGTTCGACATTACCCGCTTCAGAACACTTCAGTTGTTTTAGTTCAGCTCTTTTTTTTTGACTGGCATTATGTTCTTTTTGGGTTAAAAGTTCCTTAAATTCTTATAACATGATTCCATATCAGTATGGATGTTAAGCTTGACAGTTTTCCCAGTTTAGATCTGATGTATTTTAAAAGTATTTAAGTTTTTGAGCAGAGTAGGTGCAATCTTTGCATCTGATCAATACCTTGCTACTTTTCAAACTTACAAAATCTTATAATTTTACTGTAAATAAATTAATATTTTCTGAAAACAGACATCAAAAAAGGAATGTGTAAGTTCAAGGTGTAATATTTGAAAACAAGTCTGTTCTTTACAAACCAGCTCTGATACCTTTGATTTTGGTAAATAAATATTTTAGAGTAAGGCTGCACTGCATCAATAGAATATAATACTAATGCTTCTTACACTCTGAGGATTTTTTAACACCTGTGTCAGGTCAGAGCATCTGCTGCAGTGAGGATCAGTCAATGACAATATCCTTCATGAATGCAAAGTGTGTATTTATAAAAGCTGGAAAAGATTGTCTGGAGAACACAACTCGCTTCTACAGGACTTGTATAAAACTAGACATGGTCCAGAGGCAGTAGAATGATGGCTCTAGACCCAATGCACATTAACATAGATCATGTCCAAAACTACTATATGTTTTTGCAAGTCACTAGCATGCAAAGTTCTCTTAAAGAGTCTCTACTCAATGCAGATCTATAAAAACCTTTAGAGCTGCATTTTGAGATTTCAATTTAGGCTAGTTTATAGCCTTGGTTGAAAAACATAGTAGAAGCAATAAGAATATAAAAGTGTATATAGAGTGAATGTTGATCAAACTTAATTTTTTTCTTTTTATTTTAACTGGTACTTTTATTAACTCAACTCCCTTGTAAAATTTAGAAAGATATAGTTATTTAATATATATTTATATTAACATTTAATAACTGTTACAGCAGTCAATCCATAAATAATAAATAAAAAATGAGTATTCATAGATAATATGAAAGTATGGAAAACCCCCATAAAATCAAGGTTTAGATTTGGAGGAAAAATTTGCCTTTTTATGTTAGCAACAGCTTACCTCAAGCAGTTCATCTCCACTAAAAAGCTTTGCGCAGCGGCCGACTGGTCCTTCAGGAAGGACCGATCTGATGTAATGATGACCGCCGCTGGCTTCCAGACTGATTCCCAGACCACTGCTCTCTGTGAACTTTTCCACCTGAGCTACCTGCAGGGGAACCAAGGATTTTAAAAATGCATAAACAACAGTGTGTCAATCTACCAAAAACAGTATTTTTTTTTTTAAATACAGTAACTTTTACCCTTAAAAAAATCTTAACCTACCACAACTTCATTATTTGGACCAAGAATCTCTTGCCATTTTTTCATGAGCTCTTCCTCTTCAACAGGTGTTAACTTCAACCCTAGAAAAAGTAACCATGTTACTTTTAACATTTCAAAATGGCACACACAATAAAGAAATTGATTCATTATAACTTCCCAATTTTAACACTTCTAAAGTATTTCCTTTTAATTTTTTATAAAAAACATACAATATACTGCAGCTTAACTAATCTTTCTGCATGGTTTCCATCCTAGTATTTACTCCCATTGTATGTCTGTGTGGTCCTGTAAACAATGGCCCTTATCTGTTAAATGTGAGAGCAGTAGCTCCGCTAGAGAACAACTGGAATAATCCCAGCCGCCTACCATGTTTGTCTTTTGTTAGATGATCCACGGCGGAGCTGACATCAGATCCCTCACTTGTTGTCTGGAAGTGCTTCTGAGCTGCAACGACTGCAGATAAACAGTAAAACAGTGACAGGTACACGAAAACACTATTCTCTTGACTAGAGCAGCAAATCAGTATGTATTAGACGTCTTTGTTCTCTTTACTGATCTCATTTGCCTCACTGTTGCAGGAACATTGCACCACTACAACCAAATCAGGACTTGTTAAACAGCATGATAGACGATTTGCATATTTTCTGTTTGTTGTTTTGTTGTGTTTAACAATTTCCTGCAGTTTTGGTCACTTAGGTACCAACAAATTACTTCTTATAAAACCAAGAAAGACTTGGTAAAAGCTCAACATCCAAATTCCAAATTAACCACTAACCAAATAGCTTTTAAATTTTGGCTGTAGGAGCCAAACAAAATGTTCAGATCTGCTTAGAAAGGGTGTATATATATATATACATATATATATATATATATATATATATATATATATATATATATATATATATATATATATATATATAGTTATTTATTTTTTTAGCAAACTTAACTGCAGTATGTTTCATTTTTTTTGGCACCCAAAATGATTTAGAAACTTAAATGACACAAATTTTCTAACTATATTTCTAGGATTTTCACAGTTTCAAATATGTACTCAAATTAAAATTAAATATTTCTTATTTAAAATGTCTGATTCTGCAATATAATATGAAATATTATTTGTGAGTTCCATAAACTTATTGATCTGTTCGTACAAGTCTTTGTTTAGATCTTTGAGTATCTGATTACTTCCTATTTCTAAAAATCCTTGTTGACACACACCCACTCATTTAAGATGGCTTCTTTCTTCCATATAAAACTTTAGTTTCTGTCAACACCATTGGGGGAAAATAAAAACACTTTAATTACATGTCTCTGTGTTTTGATTAAGGTTACATTTTTAACAGTATTCCACATTTTCAAAAACAACCAGAGCAGACATTTATAATGTCGTGTACAGATTGCTGTACAAAGCAAAAGAAGCCAAATCTAAAAATAAGAGCAATGATACGATGAAGTGATAAAGGCAAACAGCTTAGAGCTGCAGCAAAAGATGGAAGGGTCAAGATCTGTTAATTTATTATATTGTAATGTTTCTAACATATTTGACCCACTTTAAGATGTATTTCTTATCTATTCATTGTATTCATTAGACCCATTAAAGGTGAACAAGAACATTACATAAATGCACTTATTAAATTATTTATGACAGTCCACATTAAGCTGAACTGACTAAAGGATTTCTAATTAATCCTTTCAAATTTCATTTTTAAGATTAACAGAGATTAAGAGTGAACAGGAGCTTTTAAATTAAAATCCATGACTTCTTTTTTTCACTGGCTGTAGTTTTGACACGGTGCAGAAACCTGCTTCTCTTAGCCACTCTTTTAAATGGAGGAAGGCAAGAAAACATGGCTACAAGAAAAAAATAGAATCACAAAATCATAAACTCTATATCATAAAACACAGTATAATCGCCTTGACTCATGACACGCATTAAGAAGGATAACGCAATGACAAAAAAAATCTCTGTATGTGTTTCATCATGGGTCTTGTGATGCCAAATCTTCAAATAACTCAACTAATGTTATCTATAGTTTATGTTACACAAAGCAGGCGTAGCTATTTTCTGTCCTACTATCACAAATGTAAACATTGGGGGGTAATAAAATTGAATAAGGTGAAAAAACATACCTGAAGCCTCTATACTAAGCATTTGGGAGGATCTACACTAGTGTGGGCCTGGTTCTCTTTCAAAGAAACAATACATTTTTGAAGAATATACGGTGTAATTAACTCTTTCATCCCCTCTGCCAGACACATGGATTTTGTAGAGACACTCTAAAAGGAGATAAACTCAAAGGTCCTCATCTCTAAGTGCTGGTAAAGAGGTTCTGTCACTTAAAAAAAAACAAGCTGCACAGTATTTAAAAGCTGGGATAGTAGTGGCTTAAAAAAAAAACAATAAATTGCTTTAACTCAGAGCAGAATTTTTATCTCTGCTTAATTATCGTGGGCAAAGTAGCTAAAAAAAACAAACAAAAAAAAACAGAATCAACTTTAAGTCAATGAGCACTTAAAGACAGCTAAGAAAGTGAATAAAAAAGAACATTAACCAGAAGGTGTATTACACCAGCACCCATTAATTTTTTTTGTCTGCTTTTTGTTGTTACTGGCTGAAGACGTGCTATTAGATATTCAGTATTTGTCAGCAAAAAATATTGCAACAGTCCTGAAGAAAAAAAACAGGCGGTGGACTTAAGTTACATCTTTAACCTGATTATTTTGTATTCAAATGTACATTATTCAGAAAACTGAAATATGAAAATAGGTCATAAAAACATTTCTTACATGTTTTTAAATTCAAGTTTACAACTAAAAGAAGACAGCATGTCACATAACATGAGGAAAGAAACAAAAATATTGAAGCCACAACAAATTTCAAGATTGGTATTTTGCTTTGGTTTCCTTATTTTTTAACAATTGACTTTTCTCCCTACCTTGAGCAGGCTGCTCGGCTATCCTCTCTTCCAACGCCAGCTCCTTCATGATGGTGGCAGTGGTGGGGATGGTGGCAGAAGGGGACAAGACGGAGACGACGGGTGTCACAATAGGGGGTTCCTCCTCGTCAGCTCTGAAGTCCCGCCGGATCAGCTTAAGGTGGACCGTCTGGCCAGTGTGTCTGAGCACCTCCACTGCCTGTTGATTGGTGTATCCCTGGATGTTTACGCCGTCCACCTGCAGGGGGCATAATTTGTATCAACCAGGGGTTTAAAAGTGGCAGAAAAAGACTCTTTGAGGGACTGCTAAGTTGCAAAATGCACTCTTGCTTGAAGGAAATGAAATTAAATCAATTTAAGAGTTTGTAAACACCAGAGGCAGTGCAGAAAACACACCGAGTATTCTCAGCTCTCTTGCTTAATTCAGTCCTTCTCAGATGGATAATAAATTAAAGTAATTAAAGTCATTATAAGATTCTCAGAGAATAGAATAAAACCAGAGGACTCAGCCTGAACATTATGAAAACAACGCACCATAAAAATCCTCAGTAAGAATATTAAAAACATATTTTCTCACTATGCTAATTAAACACTCTATTATATTCATGGTTCCAAAAACAAAAGAAATAAATGCTGCTATCTGTTAACTGTGAATTATTCAAAATTATGCATCTCATAACTTCCCTCCACTGAGTGTGTAAATGCGATAACTGTAACACAACCTTTGCTGCAGGTTTTAAGTCAGACCAAATGAAAACAATAAAAGCGGCGTTTCTTCCACGGGGAACAATCTAGGTACTCACAGCGATTATCTGGTCTCCGACATGAATACGGCCATCATGATCCACAGCGCTGTCTTTTGTTATGCTCTTTACAAAGATGCCGGAAGGCTCTGGGGAGTCAGAACAAGATGTTTAAGTAGTGACGGATACTTCTAAGCGTTTACACTTTACATTGTGGTTTATCTTCTGCTTGCAGGCTAGGGAACACACACAAATCAGGGCGGCTTGTAAAGCATACCCAGTAAAGCACAGAAACAGATCTTTGATCTTTTATATCTTTTCTGTAAACCATTTCTAAGCTATGCTTCAGCAGATATTTAAACCCAATTACTTGTGGCACGGAGACTTTTGAACATCAGAAGACTCAGAGAAATTTAATTGAGAAGGCTGCTATACATAATTCCCATACCTATGATGCAAGCTGTTTTTTGAGTTTTGTTTTAATGTTGAAAGGCTTTAATATTGAAATGCAAAATATGTAAATCTAAGCATGTTATTTTTTCTTAAAATGAGTGCTTTTTTTCTGGAATTGAGGAGGTAAGTGAGAAACTTTCAAAATGGAATAAGACAATTTACATTTAAAATAAGAAAAAACAAATGCATTGTCTTATTTCAAGCTCATAATAGCTAATTATCTCATTTTAAAGGTTAAAATCCTCATTCCATGGGCATATCATCTCATTTTCCTCCTCAAATCGAGGGTAAATTCACTTATTTTAAGACAGTTTCTCATCTTCAGAACATTTTTCCAGTGTAATTTGTGTTTTATTGGCACCTTTTCAATTTTTTTAATTTTATTTACTTGTTCAGTTGTGTTAATTTCCCTCAATTACATTAGCTTTCCTGATCCCAGCCCTTTCCCACCTATATGAGTCCCATATAAGCTCCAATCTTGTAATCACCCTCCTTTGTACCTCCCAGTTTCTATCTATGATTGTCAGGTTTGCTGTTGCACTTCTATTTTGTTTCCCTCCACCTTGGTAAAACCTCCAACAGAGAAAACAATATTCCAGATCCCTGGAGCTCCTGCAAACTTTCTTGCAGCTGATAAAGAGAATCACGGCAATATTAAAACTACAAATGTATGCACCGGTGAAGCAGTGCCTCAGTGGGGCTGTTGCGAGTCCACAGGGTGACGATTTTACAGCATCATTATACATTCATTTAAACAGCAGATTGTTTACTTTTTGTTTCTTAATCCTTTTATGGAATAATGGTCGCTTCACTACATCTCCATTTTAATCTCACCTGAATTTTTATCTCCAACGTAGCCAGCGATTGTGATCCCCAGTCCCTGCGTGTTCTTGGTTAGGCTCACGTCAAATGCTTCAACCTCGTCTTCTTCACCGCCCTGTTAAAACATACATTAAAAAAAAGGTTTGCAAAAATCTTCTCCACTTACCCATGAATTAAATCCTGAATATCTAAAGTACGTATAGCTGAAATATAATGCATTTTTCAGTGGTTTTATTCTTTCTTTTATAAATTGATAATTATGGTCACTTTTTAAGTTTTTGGCAGTTAAGATAAACCTGCATATGCAAAGAAAAAGAATGTATGTATGTCGATGTATACCACTGTATTGTAGAGATGCTCTGAGAAATTCGCTGGATGATGGTTTAGAGTAGAATAGAATACAATAAACTTTATTAATCTCACAAGTGAGAAATTCCCTTTTGAAATCGGCTCTTATAAACCAACAGGAGGTGCAAAAGGAGGAAAAGGTTCATGAAGTATATACAGTGCACCCAGATATATACAGTGGTAAAAAATAAAGGACAGACTTCGGTAACTTATGTTTTTATGACTTATATATGTTTATTGGTCCTGACTGGTTACCATCTGGTAGGATCAGAACTTTTCTTCCTCGGCCAGTGAAGATACCTGGTCAGATTGTTTAGCCTTTTGTTGGGTCCTGATCTGGTTGGTAGTAGTGCAGTTTTCTGGGTGTTCATTTTTTTAATTCGGGCCATTCTTCTTCCCAAATGATCTTTTTAGCTATAATGTTTTTCTTTATCTTGTCAGCAGGGCCTTGTCAGCATTACTTAAGCATTTACAATGTAGACAAATGCTTTACAAAGATGGAAGTGGATATTTAAGGAAAAGCAACAAAAAAAAAGGATGAAAGCGACATTGTCCCATTTTATCCTTCCTCTGTGATGAAACATGGTTGCAAGCCATATAAAATGTTTTAAATGCAGAAATTTGGATTAATTAGTTATGTTGGAACAGCACCGGCAAGCATAAATTAAATGCATTATACAATTCAAAAACAGGAGGAGCAATATACAGTAGGGAAATGGCTACATTTTGTTTTTACCTAAAACCAAAAAACGTCAAAGATTAGCACAAATTCAACTCCTGAGATCAGAGAAAATTTGTAATTCTAACCTTTTGCTGACAGGAAGAAAACTAACAAACAGTAATAACTTTTGAAAACAGAAAATGCTCTCTCATAAAAACAGAGCATAAACTCTGGTTAGAGACGTTTGAATCTTGAAAAGACGGATGTAATGTTGCAAAAAAAAAGTGGGACAGCTTTTGGTTTTCCTTTTTGCCTTGAGCGGCGTATCTTGCATGCTTTGTTACCACAAAGCCGTTTTCAATTTTATAGACTATTAAGAACACTTGTTCGACTTTATTTGAAGTAAAAGATTTTCAGTCTTATTTTTACACTGTCTGAAAGTCAGGATTTGATCAAATTAACCCCTTAAGCTAAAAAAGAAAACAGTCTGGATGAGACGACTACAGATTATTGAGAAATAAGGCACCTAAACCTAACTGCTGTGTGTGATTCACATCAGTCACTGGAGTTACAAGGTTTTAGACTCTGAGCAATAATGAGTGACTGTGAACCTGAGTATACCCTGCTGCAGACCACAGTGTGTGAAGGAGCTATTATATGCATTATGTGGATAGTGCTGTCTGCTGATGTTGGGCAATTATACACACCTGAGTTTTCTTACACATAATAATAGTACCATAAAGCAAAGCAAAAAATAAAACAACATCTGTTAGAGTGTATTATTTAAAAGATTAAATTTTTGATATGTTAGTAGTGATATGAAATGGTTAGAGATGGTAGGAGAAACAATATACAGCTTTTGATAATTTGTTTAGGATTTTCTACCTAGTCAGGTCAGCCCCCCAGCTGTGATAAAGGAAAAAGGACAGCTGGGTTTTTTTTGGTTTGGGTCCTTTTCTCTGTATTGAATGAGTGAAAAGTGAAAAAGTTTTTGTCAACCACATAAATAATGTTTCAATTTTGATATTTCTTTGAATTCAACATGAAGAATATTTTCCTTATAAGTAAATTCAAGTTTTTTTGGTGGAATCCTCCGCTAATGCTTCTAAGTTTTTATTGCATCATTAACCTTTTCCTAAGAAGCTAGGCTTGTTGTTGTTATTAACAAATTAAAATGCCAATGTAGCATAACAAAATCTTATAACAGATTTTCTTTGAATCTACCTCACAAAAAAGCTTTTGTGTAAAAAAAAAACAACAAAAAAGGTAACTTCCATTAAAATAATTGCCCTTAATTAATTTAATTCAGTTTACTAATATAGACTCAATTCAAAACACATGTCATCTCAAGGTACTTTACAATTCAACTAGATTGTATAGCTAGATAAGTTAAAAGTTTTTTTGCTAAGGAAAACCAGTTGATTGCGTCAACTCATTAACTCTTCAGCAATCCCTCACACCAAGCATGCTTGTAGCAACAGTGGGGAGGAAAAACTCCCTAAAACAGGAAGAAATCGCCAGTAGAACCAGGTTCAGTGTGAGCGGCCATCTGCCGAACAGGGGTTCAAGGAGACAGAAGCAGAGATACAGAAAGAAGCAGAGATACATGTTTTCATGTCTTAATGCAACAGTTCACTTTACCTGCTGTTCAGCTACGGTGGGAAGCACAACTGACATGACAGCAGACGGGGTCTCTTCCACAGGCCCCCGGGTAACAACCAGTTTCACCCTGTTGCCACACTGCCTAAGGACTTGGGCCACCTGTTCGCTGCCCATGCCGAACAGGTCGGTGTCTCCGATTCGCAGTATGTGATCCCCACTCCGCAAACGTCCATCCTGTGATTAAAAGCACGTGTTTTGATGATGCTATTGGTGGGAACCTTGACAGATGCTCAGCCCAATTAAGACACAACAGTGTAATTACCTGATCTGCAATCCCTCCAGGAAGTATCGTTTTGACAATAACCCCAGTAGTTTTTCCTCCAACAATCCCAAAGCCGAGACCAGTGCCATCGTTAACCAACTCGATTGTCTCCACATGTTGCCACTGGGTAAAAAATCAAACAAAAAAAAAAAACAATTGAAGACAGTGGATTGGACCTAATTTGCATAACATGAGAACATTTTAGAGATGTTGGCTAAATCCTTATAATTCCACTCAGTCTTGCATTAACACATTGTCTTTATATACCTTGCTGGAATGGGCTGACAATGTGCTAGCTGCAGACGGTGTGCGCGACACCACTGGACTGGTCAGCTGAGGTATCGGCCCTCTGGCCACGGTGAGCTGCACCCTCTCTGAAGCACTCTGCAGGATGCTGATGGCTTGTTGGTGGGTGACCGTGTGATCCAGAGGCTGACTGTTTATGGCTAAGATCTGGTCTGCTTCCTTCAGCTTTCCGTCACTTTTAAGAGCACAAGACATCAGGATATAATGTGGTAACTTGTGAATCAATCACTCTGCTCTTTTCAATGAAATTGGGTCCCTAAATAGGTTTCAGGACAATGTAGATTGCAGACAAACAGTTAAAGGGAAAATCCAGACCAACCTTGGTATATTGAAATGGTATCAATAAGGGCTGACCCAAAGGTATTAATGTAAATCTTTATGAAATGTCTTTAAATAAGTAAACCAGAGAAAACACTGACATGTTTAAAGTTTAAAGTTTCTAAACATACCTATGGGCAACACTTCCTGGTTGAATTTCTTGAATAAAAATTCCCAGCTCTCCACGGTTCTCACTCTTTAATCCCACCACACTGAAGCCCAGACCCCCTGACGCTGGTTTCTGCAGCTCCACATGTGCCACGTAGCGACCCTTTGCAATACAAACATGACAAACAAATATATTAACCATCCTACAAATCGCCATTCAGCACTACTACAGGATTAAAACTTTTTAGTTTAAAAAATAGGTACTAAATTATTTTTGAAAGTTAGATAAAGTGGGATTTCACAGGATTTCAGATGACCAACATAAATAAGGCAAATGCAGATCAAAAGGCACTTTAATTGTTTCCCTTTAGGGTGATTCTACCTGGGCCATAGTTTGGATGACACCCTCAAAATCTTCCAATGACGTTTTGCCATTGGCAGGTGAAGTAGCTGGGATGTCTGAGTAGGAAGCGTGGCTGCCATTGGCTTTGATGATTTGATCACTGAGGTCACTTCCTCTTGATGGAGTGACACCTTCCTGGAGGAATAAATAAGAATATTTTGAAGGCCTTTTCACACTTTTTTTGTGTTACAACAACAAACTTTCATGTAATTTTTTTTGATGGACCAACAAAAACAAATGCCTACTTATAAGGTACAAAATAAAATAAAATAAAATCAACTTCAGACTTGATCTAGTACAGGGGTCTGCAACCTGCGGCTCTGGAGCCACATGTGGCTATTTGGACCCTCAAAAATGCTCTTTATAGTGGCTAAAAATACAAATAAACAGTGTTTGTATAAGATGCAACAGATTTCTTGTGTTTTTTGTTTTTTTTTATATTAAATGATGTAATATTTTATGGCTCTAAATTACTTCAACTTAGCCGGACACAGGCCAAAGGACTATTTGAGTATGAAAGCTTGAAGACACCGGATCAACTAAGTAAATTACCTAAATTTAAATTTGTAAACTAATCTCAGCATAAATTCAGCTGCTCTTACAAACTACTGTCATGGTATCAGCACCTCAGTGCATTAATGAACAAATGGCATCAGGACCAAGAAACAAAGTAGACAGTTCAGGGATAAAGTAGTAGTTAAACGCAGAGAGAAAATGAGCAGCCATGCAGGGAGAGCATTGATCAGAGAACCAGCTAAGAGAGGAAATAACGAACATGTAGAGGAGGGAGATCTGGTCGGATGGGAGAGAAATTTGACCTTATGACCAATAGGCAATATGCAAAGTGTGGAGGAAAACTAACTGCTCGCCCTAAACATAGAGAAGGCATCATCCTGATCACATTTACATCACATACATTTGTATGTATTCTTTATACTGCATCCTTTTTAACTACATGCTTTTTTTATCTTCTGCTGATCTATCCTATAAAATCGAATTAAAATGCACAGAAATTTCTGGATGTAATGGAAGGAAGTGTTAAAAGGTCAAGGATATGAATTTATACATGAATTTAATATATAGAAATATATGAAAAACTATAGTGACCATAAAATTATACATAAACAGATTGTGTTATGAGGGAAAAAAAACTGTAACGTTGTAATCTATCACTAGAAATACTTTAAAACAGCTCAAATGTTCTGGACTTTAAGTTATTGCACTAAAACACAATAAATGAAAAGTTTAAATTTAACAGGAAAACATCACGGCTGATTTGAGACGTCAACGTAAACATTTAAAGAGTTTAATTTTAGACAATAAGCCTCCGATTGCGGGCTGCCTAAAACCACTGGGACAGTGGAGAGCTTGTTATCCCACCCCGATTAGCTGGATCTGTGGCCGTCTAATCCCTGAGGAGATAATGGCTCTTAGCCGATGTTCCAACAATGACTCGGCTCCAAATACAGTATTTCTATGGTAGAAGGGAGAAGAGGGAGGCTGTATGGATTCTGTATGAATGGGTTTTAATTACTGCAGCCGCTGTAAGCTGTGTGGCAGATGAATTGCAAAAATTAAAAAATAATATAAAACAACGATTTCCTGATTTTATTTGTCAAAAAAGGGTTTAACTGGATTTTAAGAGGATGGAGCTAAAGATAACCCGTGTGAATTTCTAAATCATCTGGAACGAGTTTATGATGCCTGATAAATATGTGTCCCAGATTAGTCCTCATGAACTAAAGTCCAATTAACACGATGCATCAGTACTCCAAAACAAACCCTGCAGGCTGGTATAAGTTAGTGTAGCACGCGGCTAAGTTGCTGTCCTCATGTGTGAGCTTTGTTAGCCAGGGCCTAGCTAAGAGGATTAAAGTTCCAGTTTGGTTCTTGCACATTCAAGAAATTGTTTCTGCCCCACTTCACATGGGAGCAGCGGCGGCGGTAGTGCAGGCCTCTTTCTTCCCGAGGAGCTGGGGCCCTATCACCATGGCGACACGGATCTAGCAAGGCCTAACTAACAGAAGCCAGAAGACAAACTAAATGCTTTTTGTGTCTGGCTCTCTTTTCACAACAAAACACTACATGCCCCTCGAAATTATTATCGCTTTAGGGAGCCAAACAAGCACAGTTTGGTTTGATTGGAACAGAGAGATCTAAGAAACACTCGCAGATTTACACTTTTTATTAAAATATGTCCCTTTAGCCTCGGTAAAACCCCTTAAAGCCGTCCAGCTTTAGATCTGGAAGGAATAAAGAGAGAAACTTTAACTGCCAAGGCAAAATAAAATATAAAAAAAGACTGCCTGGAGGGACTTTAAGATTGAAAATGTCTATAACTGTGGTGGGGGGTGTTCTCTCATCCCAGTGACTCCCACTGCATAGCAAGCATATTTTCTCCTACTTCTCAAATACTTAGCCTGTTCCTTTCCACTGGCTTAATAGCTCTTTGCTTCTACTGAAATCCATTCTCAGCAGGGAAAATCATCTCACAAAGAACTTAAAAAAAATGATTTTTCCACTTGTACCAACTATCTGAGCTCTTATACGAATTCAACACCTGGCTTATGTAAACCCAGACAGCAGTTTGCCCACAAAAAAATACTACTGGGAATAAAACAAGGACTGGTACCAGAGGGGGGTGATTTTTTATTTATCTATTTTTTTTACGTGAAAGCGGGTAAAGATTTAGGGAAGTGTCTGTTAGGAAAGCAGAGTTACAGGAAGATGACATAAAGCTAGATACTACCTGTTCTTATTTAGCTTGCCCTCCTTCAATTTAAAACATAGCATTTATTTAATTTAAGTTGCTTTTTATTTTAAACTGACAATATAAAATAGGTGATAAAAATGAATATATGAAATATAGGTTTCAGGCTTTTCCATCATGTTTTATGTTTATTTACTTTTGTTGTGATTACAAACCATATCCAAAATAAAAAAGGAAATAATATATATTTTTTTTACTTCATCAAAAAGTCTAACTTTTAAGGAGTATTTAACAATTTTCTTTGTCTTCGAGTATAAATATAAGCTGATACAGAAGCCACCAATGTCTGTAAGCTGTTTTTTCGAATGCGAAAGATAACAGAACCTGTAAATCCATTAAAGTATGGAAATATATAAAATAAATATCTTCTACACTAAACATTAACTTTGATAAAATGAATATCTAAAAACAACCATGATGTAAAAACAAGATAAGTACCTAAACTTATTTCGATCCAGCCTGCAGTAAAGAACTGCATCGTATATATATAAAAAAAAAAAGAAATGACACTTTACAAAGTTTACCACATATTTCTGTGGCTTACGATGGAACTCTGTTGGTAAGATGACCAAATGAGTGAGTGTTTCAGTAACCAACACTACAGTAGACATTTTCCTGGCTTTAACTAAAGGACAGCATCTATTTGGCAAATCAGATATAAATCTTGGTGCAATTGCTTGATGTAGCGATGGCTGTCCCTCTGGCAATGTCTCTGAGAGATCTGTGAAACTCCTCCAGAGTTATTATAAGTTCCTGGAGCCAAACTTGTACCAGGGACCTTCTTAAGATTGCTACGTAAATAGAACTCACTTGTGGAATTATAAAAACAGTCATTTTGCAGCCATTTGCTCATTTGTTTGCAGGCAGTTTCTTCTTTAAGCTAATTTTGTCTGACGAGAACATTTTTACAGATATATCCAACTTTAAAAATTTCTTAACTCATGAATCCTTTCCATAAACCACTTAAACCACCATTTTTACTAAAGTGTCAGGGTTAAAGCTGCAATTACCATTTATATAAATCTTTAATGTGTAAAAATGATAGAAATTCAGCACATTATTGGCAAATCCTTACATGTTCAGCAGGTGATGGAGACTGAGGGATTAGGAGCTCTGAAAAAGGTTTAACTTTCCTTCAAAATTTTCACATTACAACCGCAAGATTTTATCTATTAAATTTATTTTTGTCCAGTTTTCTTATAAAGTCATGTCCAGCCTGCAGGTGTCAAATTAACTCTAAACCAGATCATATGAGAGGTAAAACCTACTGTGGAGATGCTTAAACCCAGATTTGGTTATAAAGGAATACCGGCATCTCACACACAGAGGTGTTTATCCTAAGGCAGGGCTGCCAAAAGTCGGTCCTTGTGGGCCGGCGCCGCTGTTCTACAGGGTGTCAGCGTTTCTCAGCTTCAGCACAATTGATTCTGATTGTAGTTCATCAAAGGCCTGTTAATCAGCTATCAATGCAAATCACTGTGTTAAAGCAGGGAAACCTTTATAACCTGCAGGATAGCGGCCCACGAGGAACAACTTTGGACAGGCCTGTGTGCATTTCTGCTTTTTCCCCAACCTATTAGGGAACACGGCCGACCTTTTTTCAGCAGGGACAGTGAAGCTTGTCGACATTGATAGGAAGAGGCATACAGGACACTCCTGAAAGAAACTGTGTCAGATGCTTCAAAAGTTTAGAGTGGAGGGCTACACTTAAAAGATTTTCATCTCTATGGATATCTGATTATTAGAATGGCAGACGCAAATCCAGTTGAGAATCTGTGACAAAATTGGACGATTGAAGTTTGCTGATGCTCTGGATCCCCTCTGGCCGAGCAATGCAAAAAGAAAAAGGAACAAGTCGGTAGATGTGCAGAGCAGGTTGCGGGTCCAACCTTTCAGAGGCTTACAGCTGTGAGTGTGGAAGAAGGTGGCTTTACAAAGAACTGACCCACAGGTTTTTATTCTAATTTTTTAAAGTTTTAAAATATAAATCATTCTCTATTCACATCGAAAATTCTCCACTACTTCACATTTGTCTGTCAGATAAAATAATGACAGATAAAAGGATTAAATGTTCTGAGTTCTGTGATGGATATCAGACATGCACAAAAAAAATTGAGTTCCAGAATGTTTTAAGACCTTAGCAGTGGGTGCTGATGTTGCACGCATTAGAAAATAATAAATAATCTTATATTGCAGTAAAGTTATGACAATAAGTAAGCATTACACTGCTGCAGGAACAACTCCAGCAGTGCAGAAATGGTTAAGGACGAGGTCATAGAAGGTATTACAGGGATAATATCAAACCTGATCTCTGAGATGCTGGACGGACTTTTGCAAAGCGAGGATCTGGTGGAAGAGAGGGCTTTGAAGCACTGATCTGAGCAGGCTGAGCTTTTCCTCAGTGGGGACCTCCCCCCTCTCCTTCAGTTTGGCCTGGAGACGCTCCACCGCCTGCAAGGCACGCTGTGTATCTGGAAGCCGTCACATATTTCAGTGACAGAGCCGGCCAGAGCACAGGCAAGGAAGCAGGGAGAAACAGGCGTGGGAGAGACAGTTCTTGATTAGAAAAGACTGTGAAAGCTGGGAGAGAAGCTAAGAGATGACACTACATATTGTTTTTCATTATTCTTCAGAAAACAGCTTTAAAGATTTTTTTTTTTACTTTTACTTCTGTTTTTCTGACATTACTTTATGCATAAACCCACAAGGCTGAAAGGATGGAGCCGTAAATCTAGAAACTAGGCTTAGCTAAGGCTGATGGGTGCTTAACAGACCTAACTGTATCAAAATCACATCGCTCCAGGTTTTGCACAAAAGTTGAAACTCAATTTTTAACGCTCTGATTGTTCACAGAACAGCTCTGCTTCCATTTCTTGCTGCTAGGGTCAACGGTGGGAATGACTGGGAGCAAAGAATGGCTATCAGGACGAAGAGATAAGAGAGGCAAAGCCCTCTGCTGTTTGCTTGCCGGACCCCACATAAGCTCCACAAATCAAGCAACTCCACAGCGGCTTGTTAGCGAGGAAAGGCCAGCCAGACGCCTTCCTGAGCAAAAATAAAGCAATTTCTGTAGCTGACCAACTGTGACTAACACCTAGCAGGCCACGCACAATGGCTGGGAGCTCTTTTTGGACTAAGGAGCTTTGTTGGTGCAACAAAGATGAGGCAATGAGACTTGAGCTTCAACATACGGTATATAGTTTATAGTTACTTCTGGTTCTAAGCATGTTAGTTAGTTTGTTTTTATTATTGTCTTTGCTTCAATATGCAGTCAGTCTCCTTTTATTTGATTTTGAGCAATAAAATACAGACTGGGCCCAAAGCATGTTAAAAAAATTTTTAAAACTGTTTGTTCTTTTGAACCTCTACAACCTGTTGCTTCAAAGACCTTAATTATAGCCTGTGTTACCAGGTTGTAGAATCAGCAGCACATTTCATTTTCTGGTTTCGTTTTAGGACTCTCAATGGCCTGGTTACAAAAACTTTACATACATTTTAAAAATATTGTCATGCAGGGCTGAAATTACCAGGAAGTAGAGGCTGAAATCTAATGCTGACCACAGATCAGGAGGTTTTATATGAATATTTTGAAATCAAGCAAGTTGTTCTTGTGTTAACATATCAGCTAGAAATGGGGATGATGCTTCCAGCCATGTTTACACAAATACTAAGAAGATCTGGGAAGACGCAGACAGCGGGAACAACTTATCAGCCATGTGAGGTGAAATTTTGTTACGTCAAAGCTGATTCAAAAAAAAGTTTTGCAGATAAACCGTTTTTTGCAAAAGCCAATCAAGAGTAAAAATAAAACATTTTTTGCGATTTTGTCTTTACCATCTAACTTTTTTGATTCGATACTCCAAAATGCTGATGGAAATGTACGTAGTGGCTCCTTTTGTAATGTAATTTAAAGGTGATCAGCTTTTCCAAGTTTCATGATCGCTTTTATTTCTTTATTTATTTTTTTTTTTTTTTTTACTTTTCTCTATAGAACTTTCAGCCAGTGTAAACTCACTTTAGATTCAATCTATTGTTATCACTTATTTATTTTTATATGATTTTTTGTCATTATTGCTTCAAATGCTCCATGGCTTAAAAAATATTTCTTTTATGGTAATTTCCTAGCTGCCTAGCTGCCACATGCAGGTTCCTAATTCAAATAAAGCAGTCCAGACTGCTTTTGCACCTGTTATCCATTGAACATACAATCTTTGTAGAACAGGCTTCCGGTGTCATGCATATCTTAGATCTGTCTCTTCTTCCACTCCTGAATCCAATCAAAGAAATTACCTCCTAAGCAAGCAGTCTAGCTCTCCAGAGTCCTGCTAATGACCTGATTGTTTGATTTAGGTGTATTAAAGCACTGATACATCTAAGGCTACGTTCACACTGCAGGCCTTGATGCTCAATTCCAATTTTTTTGAGAAATCCGATTTTCTTGCGTTGCCGTTCCAAATATATGCGACTTGCATGTGATCTCCTGTGTGAACTGCATTCATACAGCTTAAGTGTCCCGCATGCGCAGTAGAGGACACAATGACGTCCCAAGCCAGCGTGCTTTGTGTTTACGGAAGTAAACATGGATGGTAGTGCTGGAGTGCATCTAACAATATATCCAAACCTTAAAACCTCAATCTTTTCAAGATGGTTACACATAAATACTGCTCTTCGCATCATCGTCCATCATGGTTGTTGTTTTTCTTGCCGCTTTTGTGTAGCAAGAAGCAGAATAGTGACCTATGTTGGTTACTACTGCCGTTCAGGTCGGGTGAATCCGACCTGGCCGTTCAGACACAGGTCGCATTTAAAAGGATCAGATTCATATCGGATCCAGGACCACATAGCCAAGTGGCCTGGGTCTGATTGGAAAAAATCGGATCTGTGTTGTTCAGACTGCCATGAAAAGATCAGATATAGAACGCATATGGGCAAAAAAAATCCGATTTGGGCCACTTCAGGCTGCGGTGTGAACGTAACCTAAAAGATACAGGCCACCTGACTTAAAAGACCAGAACTGGAAGCCCATCGTAAATCACCTGGATCCCCTAGTCTTTTAATATTAGCCCCTAATATGTGGAAATGATTTTTTTAAGATGTTACAGATATTTAAGACAGCTACGTTCGTTTCATCTTCGTTATTTAAACTCTTCCAATATGCTTGTAGTAGAGAAAATTAGCCACGGGGAGTGGTGGCCTAGCCTTGCGATGGAATGGTGACCTGTCAAGGGTGTACCCCGCCACTTGCGCGTAGACAGCTGGAGATAGGCACCAGCACCCCTCGTGACCCCGCTTGGGATACTATAAGCGTGACAGAAAATGGACGGATGGATGGAGTGGCAGCCTAGATGTTAGGGCATTGTGCTCCTAGTTCAAGACCCACTCCCCAAGGGGAGCAGTCCAGAGATTGAATTCACAGAAAAAAGATGGGTTTTCTGTACTAATAGTGCATTCAGTAGAAGAAATGAAGGATATTCTTTTGAATTCTCAGTGGTTTAAGACTTTAACTGGACTTCAGCGGACCTGGGTTTAAATCCTGGTGCCTCAAGAAGCGCACGTAGTATATATTTTTTTCAGCTTAAACTGGCACAAGTACAGAGCAACAAAATGAACCAATCCCCTTGAGGAGCAGTGAGCTGCCATTGTGCAGCGCCCAGGGAGCAGTGTGGGGTTAAGGGACTTTGCTCAGAGACCCAGAGTTGTGGGAGTGGGGCTCTAACTCTGGATTCCAAGTTCTATGCCCTAACCACCACTACTCTTAAAACTTTCACAACTTTTTGAGTAGGTCATAATGACTTGCTAGGTGTTCTCTGAATATGGGAACCGCCAAAAGGACACTCCATCCATTCATCCATTTTCTTACACGCTTAATCCCAAGCGGGGTCCTGAGGGGCACTGGTGCCTATCTCCACCTGTCTACTGTACAGGTCGCCAGTCCATCACAGCCAAAAGGACACTCTTGTTGTCTTTTGTTAGCTGTAAATTGGATACATTTTATACAACAAAATAATTTGTTTTCATTAGACAGTTTAACAACAAAAGGCTTTTCAGTGACTAGAAATGGTGCAGTCCCTGACCAAATACACCTAATATGAATATTTAAGGGCTTTGCACATGTTCTGTTACAGTCCATATAATTTAGCTCTTGTGTTGGATACATTGACTGAGCCAGTGAAAAAAATCTGATTGTAGCATGAGCCTAAACAATAATTGCATCCTTAAATAAATACTGGTAAACAGCAGCTGTCATCATTCAAACTAGTTTATCTAAAGGAGATGAGATGTGAATTTCCAAAGCAGTCATAAAAACTGGGCCACATGTTTTTACTTCTGGCATGTTGCAGCTTTGAAGAAAAGAAGTTGGCAGCACCAATTATTATATACATGTGACGAATAAATCTTTCGATGCACAAACAAATAATTCTATTTTTTCAGCAGCATCATAAGACCATGCTGCTAGTTTCATCCACATTGCTTAAATTGCATCTGGAGCCTCTTACACTGCTTCAGGAGACTCAGCAGGAGTCAAATGTACAAAGCAGAGCCAGCACAAAACATGAAAAATAACTTATTTAGCAAAACCCCTGAGCAAAAGTTGCACATTCGAAAAATGAAGACTCAGATCTGGACTTATGATTTTGCTGTTCTAGTAATACCTTAAATTCAACTGATGTGGGTTAAACTTGAGACAAACTAAGATTTAAAAAACAGAAAAACTTACCGATTGTTTCTATCATTTTTAAACAACCAGGTGATCATAAAGTCTTCTTTTTCCAAGGCCTGAAAAGAACCAACACATTAAGGTTAGATCATCTGGAGAGTTTAACTCATTTTTGTTTGTTAACTTTGTATTAAAGTTGTAAACATCCTTGACTCAAAGCATACCTCTTAAACTGAAGGTACCTGGGGTAGTTTTTTTAATTTTTTTTTATTTATTCCCTTGCTTTCAGGATCACAACCTTTTTTATTTCTTATTTCACTTTTTCACTACTGGCCTCTATTAGAAAGTAGGCTGACAGGAAATTGGTTAGAGAAATAGGAGGTAGACGTAGAGAAAATGCCAATGGGTCGGTACTCGAATCTGTCACAAGCCTCACTGCTGCAGAGCATCAAGAAAACTCTAAAAAAAAAACATCACCAAGAGCTTTTACATCGAAGATTCAATTATTCCACATCTTAACAACAACTCATCTGCTGCATCTTATTATTTGTTTTGCTTCACTAATCCTTCTGTAGGTGAATTAAAGCGGATTATTTGTCTTTCTTCAGCCTCACTTTGATAAAGGTTTTAAAATGTGGAAAAAACTCCATTTGATCCTATCCGACCTTGGTTGTGTTCACATTTCAAAAACAGAACATTCTAATGATTATCAGTCATAACAAAGTTTTATCAGTTATTTCGAAATAAGGATAACGCCCATCTCACATGATGACGTCAGCCTCCCGTTCCTGCTGTTCTCCTACAGATTCTGGGAGGATTACTACAGCTTGACATTTCTTAAGGCACAAAGTCAGACGCTGTTTTATTTGAGGAATGCGTTTTCTAATAGGATGTCTAATGAAGATAACGAACAGCCCTTCCTCCTTCTGCCATGACTCATCACATTAGATATAGCAGTTTGGCATAGCAGAAAATATGTAAATCACACAAAATTGAGCTAGCATTGATAAGGTCAGTGCAAAAAGTATGTAATAAATAAAATGCTGGAACAAATTTGTTTCCTGCATCATAATGATCATAAATATTAATCTGTTCTGAATGCAAAGTAAAACCCCAGGTTGCACTTTGCATATAAACTCAGGAACAAAGACCGTTTGTTATCTTAAAGAATTTAAAGAACAGAAGAGTTTTCTAGGTCACAGATTGCACTGTTTTTTAATTCCACATGTAAAATGTACCTGAAGAAACTGAGCTCATTGAATTTGAATGGGACTGACTCTCTATTCACCGCCTTGCAGCATTATCATTACTGCTATTTATTTATTGTATTACGGTACATTTTGTTGCATTACTGCCACAACCTTCAACGTCTTTCATTAATTTTTCTGATTTGACTAATTATTGCTGTGAGAGAGTTTTGCTGTAAAAAAATAAATAATAATAAGGATTTCAACTTATTCTAAAATGAAAGTCTGAAAAGTGTGGCATCCATTTTAATCATTGCTCATTTACTCAATCTTTTGTAAACTTTTGTAGACATGTAGCCTTTAGGGCTAATGTCCTGCTACTTTTAGGTGTGTCCTTTGCCCAATACATCTAATCCCTATTATATCCCTATTCCCCTCGCCTCTGACCATCTTCCCTGCCACTGTTGAAGAAATGCATCCCCACAGCATGATGCTGCCATCGAGGTGTTTCACTGCTGGGAGGCTATGGTGGGGACATATAATATTCTGGAGTAAAGATCTACATTTAGGTCAGCAAGTTACATTTTGGTTTTATCTGACTAGAGCAACTGTTTTCACATGGTTTTTTGTATAATTGTCATCGTCTAAGGAAAACTGCAAACCGTAGTATTGTAATCAAGACCATCTAAGTGGACATGATATAAAGACCAAGACAGTATAATGGGAGAATACTGAAGCTGTTTCTACAGACCTTTTTAGAAAGAAAAATGAATTTCTAAATCAGTTAAAGAGAAAAGCAGTAATGGACTTTAATGTAGCAAGAAGATTCCGGGTTTGATTCCTGGTAGGGCGTCTTTCTGCATGGAGTTTGCATGTTGTCCCTGTGCATGTGTGAGTTCTCTCCGGGTACTCAGGCTTCCTCCCACAGTCCAAAAACATGACTGTTAGGATAATTGGCTTCTCTGTGTACATGGTGTGTCTTTGTGTGTCTGTGTTGCCCTGCAATGGACTGGTGACCTGTCCACAGTGTAACCTGCCTCTCGCCCATTGACAGCTGGACATAGGCACCAGCACCCCACCCTAGCAGGGATAAGCATGATGGTAAATTGATGGATGGATGGATTTGGTTCCCCGACCAGACAGGGACTAAAAATTATGTTTGGCTTCCAGAACCTTAACATCATCAAATGCAAAATCTTATTAACTCTCTTCTTCCATAGGGGTCACATTTCTTTAGTGCATAACTAACAATTGTCGCATTGACACATTCCCCCATTTCAGCTATGAATCTCTTTGAGTTCTACTGTCAGCCTCCTGGCTGTTTCACTAATATCCTTAAACACGCCCTTCAACAGAGCGGGCAACTAGGTCCCAGACTAGTTGTATGGGGGGAGGAACTAGCCACTTCCATTTATAACCAAGAACATGTTTGCAAAGAAATACTGCTTTACACTCAGTTAAATAAAATATTTCCCCATTCTTACTTTCCTCTAATTATTCACTGCAGCAGCTAATTGCAATGCTTCTAAATGGTTATGCCGCTGACATAGCATCAATAAAGTTAGTATACATGAGGCTTGCTGCAATGCAGGTAGAGAAGGGAAAATACAAAATATCCCCTCTATCCTGGATCAGGCAGCGGCTTCATCACTTTAACATAGAACCGATACAGCAGCTCTCACCTGAGGAAAACGCCTCAAGCCGCAGGAACCACTGATCTCTATGTATCCTCTGGATTGCTGATAGGCCGTTGGTAGCACAAGGTGCTGTGAAGTCACCAGCTACCATATTGGTGCTCCCTAATTAGACTGGTTGGAAGGTAAACAGTACATGCGCTAAAGCATCAAGCAACGATGATGTTAGATTTCAGGGGAGGTTTAATACTTTTAAAATAAAGATAAAGTAATCACTTTGACGCACACTTGCTGTTTCATGGCATCTTTACATTACTGTGACTCATGTTTAAAAAAAATAGGCACATCAACAATGCATATTTGGTTTGAAGTCTTTAAATGTAATATAGCATATTATACAAATCTTTTACAACAAAATTAGTGTGCAAATGTAGCATAATAATACAGTAATAACATATTACGAATGTTACACACACACACAATTTAATAAATGGGAAAAATTGAGGACGTACATGTAATATAAATGTATTGATTGCTTTGTTATGGTTATTACATTACAGGCATTTTTATGGCGCAACTTCATGAGAGTAGGGAGTACCAAGATGGCGGCAGATGACTTCAATCCAGTGAATAAATAGATATAAGTGGCAGGAACAGCTTAACTTTGGATCGCTCTCACCTGCAGAAAGTCCGCTCTCTGTGCAGGTCACAGTGAGTGCTTTGATGGAACAAGAAACTCAGCAGTTTCCCATCAATATTTTGTTGTCTATCTCTGCTGGATGATGTTATAATCAAGACCAGAGCAACAGATATTGTTAAGAGGTTGAGATGTTTTTAATATGACTGACGTGATTACCAGGGGGTGTCCACGGCTGGACCAATAGGATCAGGCAGGTGCTGCAGCAGAGGTGGATAAACAGACAAGCCTCCTGTACCCTCTTAAAGGCTTAAGAAATATTTTTGACATATTTTTCTCCACTGTAAACCTGTCACACAAGTAAAAATCTATTAAATGGATAACTTTATTTATTAGTTCATAGTGTACATTTTTAGGCATGATTCAAAGAGTGATCATATGTTTATATGAATCAATGGGTGGGGACTATCTGCTAATATTTAGTCCCCAGGCTCAGCCAAGGCAGTCAGCTGGCCTATAACTAAATAATATTTTAACTGAAGGTAAACAGCCTCAGAAGGAAAACTTATTTGTACAAAAGAATGTTTGCAGTAGTATTGTCAGGAAATGCAGGTATGCTGAGGTATGGCAGTCAACTTCCATGCACTCAGTGTCGAAACAGACTTAAGAAAAGGGCTTTGTTAAGGCAAGGCATGACTCAGAGACACATTACAAGTTTAAGGCGCTTGGTCTCTGCTGACTCAAAGCAGGAGATGTGTACAATAGAACAATAGGTTGTTAAGGTTCACTACAGCATTTTTCTTCCTTACAATTGCTGTTTTACCTCCATATATTTTTCTCTGGCCCCTGACCCCATAACCATGTGTTTACAAGCAATTATGAAACAAAAACAGATATTTTCAGGAGCATCTGAAAGGATGTTGACATTTACTGCAAGCAGAGCTACTGTGTTTCTCCAATAAAGCTGGGAAATGTCTTTACCCTTGAGGTGTTTTGTAATGATTCTCCCAAGGTCTGACAAAGCTTTTAACTTTGTAAACACTTCAGCCTTAACCACAAACACCTTTTTTTTCCCTGCTCTTGTTGTTTTGGGCGATGATTGCCTTTAAATCTAACAGGAAGGATCTAATGGGTGACGCGTCGATTAAAAAGTAACGGTATGGGGGATTTGTTTTGGTTCTGCTGTGGTAAACTCAATCCAAGTATTTTGAATACAGACTCTGCTGGGTCAATCCGCTTTGCTTCAACTCCTCCTCCTTCTTTACCATCTCTCTCCATGCAGTGAAAAAGCAACAAGCGTCCGAGCAGGAGTTGGATACTACATGGTTATGAAGACAGAACAGCGGCTGTAGTTAAATACGCATCAATTAAACGCGTTACTTTGGAAAAGTAAGCTTTACATCCGGTTTTCTAACACAGATCCCTCACCCACAGCAGCAGCAGGAGCAACAGGCGCCTTATTATTTCCCTATAATTAGCGATCAAGGCAGCGAACAAAGACGCAACGCGCTTTATGCGTAAAGTGGGTTATTCTCCATTAGATGTTTTCTAGGGCTAAATAGTGACTTACATGAGTGTGGAGCGGTTTGTCCCCGATAGCGCCAGTCTCCCTCCCTTGGTAGTTTACTCTGTTGTCCTGCGGCTAACGGCGCACTGACCGGGGCTTAAAGATGGGGCGTAGAGTAACTCGATCCTCTCTGTGGACATTTTCAGCACAGGGCTGAAAAGCGCCCCTTGCTGGCTGCCCTCACATCCATAGGGGCCAAACATACCAACCAGGCCTGGGGCCCGTATACTATCAACTCCAAATACTGCATACTCATAGAGTTACTGTAATATATATTATAAATATATTACATTATTAATAAATGTATAATATATTGAATATATTTTTTCACTATTTTTGAAGGCTGCACTTTTTAAAAGATGTCCAGAGAGCTGTTCCAAACGAAATTTCTTTTTTTTTTTTACGCCTGTGTCAACAAGATGACAAATAAAATCTAAGTCTATATAGTTCAGCAATTAAATAGATATATCTTCCTGTTATTAATTCTTCATAACTTTTTTCTTCTATAAAATGTTCAGCTTTTTTTCTTAGTCTTAGTTTTTTTTTTTTTTTCTGTAAGAACAGTTTAATCTGAAAAACTCACATGAAGAGAAAAGACAATTAGGATAAATTTATTGATACAATTACTTTGTCTTTGGTGCTCAATTTTGATAGATATGCATGTACAATATAGGGCTGTTTCCCCCAAGGCCTGAAACTGGTGGTGAAGTGGAGCTAGATGAAGTGGGTCAGTGTGAGTGACCAAACTTAAATAAAGACAAAAAGTGATCAAAAAAATTGAAAAGAAAAAAACTTTAATTTAATAGTGTCAAAAACAGTTAACAAAGGGTCAAAAAGCAATACAAAAAAGCTTAAATAATAAATAACATGGATTTGGGCCCAACTCCACTGTGGTCAACTAAAGAGGAACAAAAAAAAAACTGACCTCCTGATAAAGAACATAGGCTGCTTACTGTAAATAGGGGTGGAATAACCTAAGCTTTCCACATGAGGGAGGCACAATATACCAGAGAAGCAATAAAACATAAATAAAACAACTCTAACTTAGTGTCATGATTTGACAAAGTTCAGTAAGAACTTGAAGGAAAGTAAGAATGGGGAAATATTTTATTTAATGTCAGTACAAAGCAGTATTTATTTGCAAACATGTTCTTGGTTATAAATGGAAGTGGCTAGTTCTTTCCCCCTCAAGGAGATTCATAGCTGAATGGGGGAATGTGTCAATGGGATAATTGTTAGTTATGCACTAAAGAAATCTGACCCCTATGGAAGAAGAGAGTCATAATATGTTACCTTTGATGATGGTACGGTTCTGGAGGCCTGACACTTAGCAGAATTCATTGATTAAGGTGACAAAATAATTAAAGTAAACTTGAACAAAATTCCCCCTTCAGTTCTTGGAAAAGTGGTTTGTTCCTGGATGCTTCCACCTCCTGCTGATCTGAATTTGCAGAACTATGAAATTAAATAAGCTTTGTGGCGGAGGTAGAAGGATCCACCACAGTCAGTCTGCTGGTTAGTGAGACGGTATGCTGAGCTTTATGGGGAGATCCAGTGGATTGCGTGAGCTGATAGTACAGCTTCACTCAGGGACCTGGAAGATGGAAGTCCAGTTGGATAACACAGGTTGAAAGAACCTGTCCATGATGAGCAAGCATGGGGTGACAGCGGAGAGGAAAAACTCCCCGTTGGGAAGCAACCTCTGGCAGAACCATGCTCAACATTGTGGTCATCTGCCAGACCGGTTGAGATGAGACATGAAGCTTTAGCTACAATGTTGGAGGAGGGGCAGGAGGTGGGTTGAAATGATGTCATCTGAATGAAGTCATACAGCCACCGCCTGCGCACAGGAGCACACAAGTGGATCTGAGGCCTTTTAAGATGAATTTTTGATGCCGATTGGCTTTCGTGGAGGTCTGGTTCAAAGTATCATATCATCATATCATACCATTTGGGGAAAAACTTTTCATGTCTACAGTGGTATAGTTTGTAACACAGTTGCCTAGCAGCAAGCAAGTCCTAGTGGTTTCAATCCTCAACCTAGGGTCATTCTGTATCAAGTTTGCTTCTCCTCTCTGTGCATGTGCTGGTTGTCTCTGGGTACTTCGGCTTACTCCCAAATTCCAAAAGAGTAACTGCTAGGTTGACTGATTACTTTAAATTTCAGCTAAATGTGAGGGCCTTTGTGCCTGGATTAATGAATGCTATCAACAAGTCATCTTAAATAATAACATTTAAAATGTGCAATTAGAATATGCTGTTCAAATAGAATCTAAAATGGCCTTATTTAATGTAATTACATTGCTATTGTTAATTTTGAAATGGATGGTTTTCTTTTACAGTGACTCTTTAGGTCTTCCATAGGTTGTTAGTATACTAATGGTGGTCATCCCCATTCCTCTTGTCTGTTAGCACAGATAGGCCGATGTTAGCTTTGTATAGGGATGAGGGTGGTCTCACAGTATTCGCTCCTGTGGGCTTTATATTGTTGGATGAATTGTGAAATGTACTGGGGGGTACGGTATAAGAATCTGTAGAGGAAATAGTAAGAATATTATAGTAGGGAATTCCCATTACACAGCAAGGGAAAATGTTAATTGGTTCAGAGAGTAAAACCATTTTAACAAACTACCAATCCCCTGAATTGCATCCAAGTGAAAATCTATTAAATGAACATAGGATCAGGATGAAGAGGAAGGATCGACAGACATAACTAAACGATAGAACAATTTTAGTAATTATTTAACTTCATGGACATATACTGAAAGCTATATGTTTCTTTTACTTTGGTAAATTTTTAAACTATAGGCACACATTATATTTGAAGGTAGCTCATTGTATACATTTAATTGTGCTTGCCAAATCTTGTCATTTGGGGTGTTTATAAAAGAGGAGGTACTTCAAATAAATGCTTCACAGTTGACCTTATCAATCTAGTCTGTTAAAAACACAAAAAAGGAACTAGTAACTTTTAAAGTTGTTGCTGAAGCCAGTGAGAAAGAATGATCTCAGTTCCCTACTGTATATAAAGCAATGTTCAAGTAAGTAGCACTGTGTTAGCAGTACTTGATAATGATCTGTCCCAGAGCAGCTTTCTTCTTTACCTCAATTATTTTTTTCTTTTTTGATTCTCAGCACTCGTTGGGCTATTTTACTTTGCTTCGACGCTAGCAGTCAATGTTTGGACAAACCTTCTTATTCAATGAATTCTCTTTAATTGATTACTACCTCTGGGAACTACTTTAAGACTTTTGGAAAAAATCATTTAAGCTGACTACCTAATGAAGCTTATTGATTGAATGACAAGAGAGTTTAAAGCAGTTTTCAAAGAAAAGCTGGGTTCTTTTTGAGACTGTAAAATATGCTTTGTATTTCACTATGTGCTTTCTACATCATTCTTTTGCTTCATAGTTTTGATGTCTTTACTACTGTCATGATTTATCTAAGGCTCGGACCCACATGCAGTGAAGTCAAACAGAGAGACACAAAGTAAAAGTTCAACGGGTTTTATTGAAATGTTTTTGAGCTCGGTTCAGAGTTTTCTCCGAACTCTGCTCAGCCGGAAACTGGAAGACGAGGGGAAGACAGACTGTTAGATTCAGGCTCAGTGGGAAATTGGATTTGTTAATCTTGAAGGAGAGGATTTGTTGTGACTCCAGAGAAGTGGAGACTCTTTGACTCCAGTCTGTGTGTTAGTCTTCCAGAGTTTGTCTGATTCGGTGGAGGGCGGAACAGGGTTTACCCAGAACTCGGACGGTGAGGAATGATGCAGACGCTGGTTGCAGGCTCCGTTTTCCTGTGGTACTTGAACGGGTCGTGGTGAAGATGAATTCCTTACTAAGAGAGAGAACCTCAACGTTTTCAAAGGTGACTGGATCCAAACCTCCTGTTTGAAATCCGTTGCTCAGTAAGACTCAGTTGATCCCTCTTGGGAGAGGCGGTCCGGGAAGATCCAGTTTGCAGGAAGGCTTCCTGCCGAAAGGCAAAAACAAACAAGGTTGAATCTCAGGGAGACAAGCACTCAGTCAAACTCAATATGAGCTCAGCTTGGCTAGAGTACAAAAACTCACAATGCAAAAACTCAGACTCAGAATAAACAAGGCTGGGCTAGAGTACCCCTAACTGGCAAACACTCTGGCGTCGAGGTAGTGGCAACCAGCAGCTTAAGAGCAGTCCGTTGATGAGGTAACCGTTCGCAGGAGGAGGACCGGAGCCAGGTGCCTCCTGGTGGTGTAAGGGAGAACACAAAGACAAGACAAAGAGACAAACACAAAAACTGGAGTCCTGACAACTACGTATTTAGATAGAAACTAATAAAACCATTTAATGACCACTAAATGACAAAGTTATGTCCAAACCTTTAACTAGTAGAGTAAGTTAGACTGTAGTTAAGTGTTGTCTATCCCTGTGAGTTTTGCCATATTTTGAGCAAAAAATATATATGAAATGTGGGCATTGCAGTGTTGCACACATGGATATTGGATTTTTCGGCTCTAGTTCAATATGCTCTACGTTTGAAATGTTTATATGTGGCAAAACAAGCATATGAAAAATATATTGGATGAATTACATGCAGCACAATGTTATATTGTTGGTAGGTTTGTCAAATCCTCTGATGGTAGATTAGTTGGTATTTGGAACCCTTAGACATCACCAAGTAGAATTCCCTTTTGTATGCTGCAATATTAGGCCTTCCTCAGACCTTTTTTCTATCTTTTTCAAGTACCACTAATTATTGTAAACAAAACAAGTAGCGCATTTGTTTTAATAATCCATATTTTGATATTTACAAGTGAATTTGATTTGATATAACTTGTAAGAGTTGGCAGCGGTACCATGGTTTTCAACACATTGCTGATTGCTAAACTGGCAAAGTGGGTTATTACTGACAATTTATTGCCACCATCTTCATTTCCCATCTCTGTAACATTACACTCAGAAGAAATTACATCCTGCTTCACTTGAGACAGCCATTAACCGACCCATGACTCTGCAATATCTGACCTCAGTACATCCTACAGCTGAAATTAGGACCTTAAAGCTAATATTCCACTACATGTATAACTCTTTCTTTCATTATGTTGTAGTCAAGGTTTTTTTAAAGCACTGTGAGTCACAGCATGCAAGGTGAGGGT